TGCTTGCTTTTCTATTCTTGTGATACTTCCCTTAGTAGAATGGGCTCCAGCTCGATCCAGGATAGTACAAGAGGAGCTAAGGCAATCACAGCAACAACAAAAATAAACAAATGGGACCTGATCAAATTAAAAAGCTTCTGCACAGCCAAAGAAACTATCACGAGAGCAAACAGACAACCTACAGAATGGGAGAAAATATTCACATGCTACACATCCGATAAAGGGCTGCTAACTAGAATCTATATAGAACTCAGGAAAATCGGCAAGAAAAAAATCAAACAACCCTATCAAAAAGTGGACAAAGGGGCCAGGCGTGGTGGCTCACACATGTAATCCTAGCACTCTAGGAGGCCGAGGCGGGAGGATCGCTCAAGGTCAGGAGTTTGAAACCAGCCTGAGCAAGAGCGAGACCCCGTCTCTACTAAAAATAGAAGGAAATTAATTGGTCAACTAAAATATGTAGAAAAAGTTTTCCAGGCATGGTGGCGCATGCCTGTAATCCCAGTTACTCGGGAGGCTGAGGCAGGAGGATCACTTGAGCCCAGGAGTTTGAGGTTGCTGTGAGCTAGGCTGATACCACGGCACTCTAACCTGGGCATCAGAGAGAGACTCGGTCTCCAAAAAAAAAAAAAAAAAAAAAAAAGTGGGCAAAGGACATGAGCAGAAACTATTCAAAAGAAGATAGACCACTGGCCAAGAAACATATGAAAAAATGCTCAACATCTCTAATCATCAGGGAAATGCAAATCAAAACCACAATGAGGTATCACTTATCTCCAGTGAGAATGGCTTTTATCAAAAAGTCCCAAAACAATAAATGTTGGGATTTCTTTTTTATTTTTTTTTTTAAAAGAGGGGCTTTACTGAGATGGTTTGGAAAACGTTCTTGAGGCAGTGATGTTTCCGTGGGCACAGAAGGATGGATTGATTGACGCCACCCAGGCAAAGTGTGGGACAGGGCCTGGAACAGCAGGACAAGTCCCTGAGGCTGGGAGGGCTTTGGAGAACCGATGCAAGATGGGCGTAGCTGATGGCACGAGGCACGTGACTGAGCAATGGGCTGTTACTCTGGTTTGGGGTGCATCTGAGTGGTGAGGGATTGGGCTGGAGCAAGGAGGCGGTGTGTGGGAGGTTCACAGGGCCAAGACACCACACACAGTAAACTACAGGAAGTGTGCAAGGAGAAACATTGGCTCTGCAGGTGGAAGGGAAGCTGTAAATGAGAAGGGAGAGATCATCAGAGGCCTCATGCAGGGCCGAGAAATTAACAGGGCACATTGGAGGGGCAAGGAGCCTGGATCTCAACACCAGTGTTAAAAAACAAGACTGAAAGATGTCATAAATACTCCTACTAATCAGCCATCCTTTCCATTTTTTTTTTTTTTTTTTTTTTGGTACTTTACAAAGAGTTTTCCCATCCTACCAGTCGATGCTGGCATCATCACTGGTTCTGCTCTTTTCGAACCTCGCAGCCGGTGCACTGGCAGATCTCGTTAGTATCACTGTCAGACATAAATGCAGAGTTTCATGCTCTCCATGCCCGGCTTCCAGAATGTACCTGCCGTGTTGAGAAGGATCACGCTAAAACCTAAATCACACTGTGCCCCTCCTCTGCTCAATAGCCTCCCATGGCTCCCATCTCTCTCTGATAGGAAGGTTCAGTGTTAACCATAGTTGCCCTATTGAGCTACTACTGAACATTAGATCTTATTTCTCCCATGTAACTGTAGTTTTGTACCCATTGACCATCCTGTCTTTGTCTCCCCTTCGCAGCCTCTGGTAACCATCATTCTTCTGTCTGTCTCCATAAAATCATTTTTTAAAAAGAGACAGGGTCTCGCTCTGTCGCCCAGGCTGGAGTGCAGTGGGCATCATCACAGCTCACTGCAGCCTCCAACTCCCAGACTCAGCCTCCCTAGTAGCTGGGTCTATAGGCACATGCCACCAAGGCTGTCTAGTTTTTAAATTATTTATAGAGATGGGGGTCTCACTATCTTGCCCAGGCTGGTCTCAAACTCCTGGTCTCAAGTGATCCTCCTGCCTCAGCCTCCCAAAGTGCTGGGATGACAGGCTCGAGCCACAGGGCCCAGCCCAGGGTTGGATTTATTTTTAGCTCCCAAGTATGAATGAGAATATGTGATATTTGTCTTTCTGTGATTGGCTTATTTCACTTCACAGGTTCCAGTTCCATCCATGTTGTTGCAAATGACAGGATTTTGTTCTTTTTTTTTTTTATGGCTGAACAATATTCCATTGTATACATGTACGTTTTCTTTTTTCTTTTTCTTTTTTTTTTTTTTTGAGACAGAGTGCCGCTTTGTTGCCCAGGCTAGAGTGAGTGCTGTGGCGTCAGCCTAGCTCACAGCAACCTCAAACTCCTGGGCTCAAGCGATCCTCCTGCCTCAGCCTCCCGAGTAGCTGGGACTACAGGCATGCGCCACCATGCCCGGCTAATTTTTTTCTATATGTATCAGTTGGCCAATTAATTTCTTTCTGTTTATAGTAGAGACGGGGTCTCGCTCTTGCTCAGGCTGGTTTTGAACTCCTGACCTCGAGCAATCTGCCCGCCTCAGCCTCCCAGAGTGCTAGGATTACAGGCGTGAGCCACCACGCCCGGCTTGTACGTTTTCTTTATTCATTCATCTGTGGGTGGACACTTAGGTTGATTCCATATCTGGCATGACACTTCGGATTTTTGAAAGGCTTGGCTGTGCCGCTTATTAGCTGTGTGTCCTTGGGCAAGTCACTTAACCTCTCTGAGCCTCAGTTCTTTCTGTCTGGATACTGGGAACTATATTCATTTCCTATGACTGCTGTGACTTGTTGGCTTAAAACAACAAAAACTTATCATCTTACAGTTCTGGAGATCACGAGTCCAAAATAGGTCCCACAAGGTTAAAATAAAGGCATCGGCGGGGCTGCACTGGTTTTGGAGTTTCCAGGGGAGAGTCTGTTTTCTTACTTTCACCTTTAAAGCTAGCATCGGTTGATCAAGTCCTTCTCACATCACATCCTCCGACAGTGCCTCTCTCGGTTTCATCTTTCGCTTACAAAGACCTTTGCGATGACCTCGCTTGCACCTGGATGACTCAGCCTCCTGTCTCCACCTTGAGGTCGTCTGATTAGCAACCTTAATTCCACTTGCCCCGGAGCATAACGATTTTGCAGGTTCCAGGGATTATCTTGTGGTTATCTTTTTTTGGAGGGGGTGTTCCCATATTGTGCTTCCCACAGGAAGCATAGTGTCCAATCTGCATCTTCTCTATCACCTGGGAGCCTGCCCCCACCTGCAGCCTTGTCCTTCTGAAGCTCACAGTGTGGTGGGTCAGGCGGCCTTGAAGAAGCTAATCACAGAGGACAGTCAAGCGATCACAGTAGCAATCAATGCCATAAAGCGCGGGCTCAGGGCGCTATTGGAGAACCAAGGAAGGTTTCCTGGAGGAAGTGACATTAAAGCAAAACCTGACGAGTGGGGAGGAGCTGGCCAGGCAAAGCAGAGGCTAAACGGGTAAACTGAGGTACAGAGAGGTGAATTAATGGACTTCCAGGCACCTTCCATCTTGTTGTCTCTAGGTGTGAACCGTATCCCCCGTGGCTGAGGATGGATCACCCCACTCTGTCCACCCCACAGCCCAGGTGAAAGGGGAAAGAAGAAATGTAGAGCATGCTCCTTCTTTTTCAAAGAAGGTGCACACATCACTTCTCTCCATTCCCGTTGGCCTAGCTGCAAGAGAAGCTGGGAATACAGTCTTCAGTTGGGCCGTCATATTATTAAAAGGAAGAGGGCGGAACGAGTCTGGGGGAACAGCTACCATTCTTGGCTTTGAGGTTCACTGTTGGAGCTTGAACCCAAGTCCGTCTTGCTTCCAAAGCCTGAAGTTTTGACTCTCATCCTTTCCTGTCCAGTGCTTGCATGTGTGTAGTGTGGTCCATGAACTGGAACCATCAGCATCCTCCAGCGACTTGTGGGAAATGCAGAGTCTCAGACCCCCGCCATCCCCAGATCTGTGGAATCAACATCTGATTCACGATTTCGGAATCTAAGGGGAGGAAGACGCTGCTGAGGAGCAACAGTCCACAGCAGCATTTCTCAGACTTCCTTGTGCACACAAAGCACCTGGGAATCTTGTCCAAAATGCAGAATCTGATGCTGTCAATCTGAAGCTGAACCTGGGATTTTGCATTTCCATCAAACTCCCAGGCAGTGCTTATGCTGCTAGCTCATGGACCACACTTTGAGTAGCAAGGGTCTAGGGTCTTTATGGTACTTGATTAAGCACAGTTGGTTGACATCTCAGATTCCTAGGGCTACACTAACAAACTACCACAGACTGGGTGGCTTAAAAACAACAGAAATTTATTGTCTCACCGTTCTGGAGGCCAGAAGTCTGAAATCAAGGTACTGGCAACCCCATTATCTCTCTAAAGGATAATAGGGTGGAATCTGTTCCGTGCCTTTTTTCTTAGTGTCTTAGTTCATTTTGTGTTGCTATAAAGGAATATCTGAGGCTGAGTAATTTATAAAGACAAGAGGTTCATTTGGCTCGGGTTCTGCAGGCTGTAGAAGAAACGCAGCACCAGTATCTGATCCTGGCGAGAGCTGCGGGGAGCTTCCGATTAAGGTGGAAGGCAAAGAGGGAGCAAGTGCGTGACGTGGTGAGGGAGAGAGTGAGAGACGGAGGAGGGAGCACTAAGCTCCTTTCAACAACCAGCTCTTGCGTGAACTAATAGAGAGAACTTGCTCATGGCTGCCGTGAGGGCACCAAGCCACCCATGAGGGGTCCACACTCCTGATTCAAACATCTCCCTCCAACACTGGGGATCGAACTTCGACATGAGATTTGGAGGGGCCAGACATCCAAACCGTGTCACGTAGATTTTGGTGTTGCTGGCAACCCTTGGCATTCCTTGGCTTGTAGACACATCACTCCAATCTCTGCTTCCATGGTGACGTAGTGTTCTCCTGCTGCCCGTCTCTTTGTCTCTTCTCTTCTTAAAAGGACACCTGCCTGTACAGGTTACACTGGATGAAGCGTTCACCCTACTCCAGGTCTACGTCATCTTAACTTATATCTTAATTACATCTATGAAGACTCTATTTCCAATAGGTATCACTTCACAGGTACCGGGTTTAGGCTCCGATATCTTCTGTGGGGCACCATTCAACCCACAGGCATGCCACTCCACTGTTTTATGCTGGGTTCCCTTGAACCCCACTCTGATGCTCTAATTTTGTCCAAACTCTCCCTTCTGTGCTGCCGTTAGTTGGAACCGAGTTGTGCTTACCACCACCACCATGCCCAGTATGCAACTTGACTCCCACTGCGACAGTACATATTGCCTTGCAAAAGAGCTCAGTGCTAGCAAATGGCAAATGCAGATCAAGATTCAAGAGTAAAATGCAATGGTGAGTTCACAAGCCCCCCAGAACCCTTGAGCATTGGGTAGGAAAATCAGGTGAAAGCTGGCTGGGAGTGGATGTAGGTACTTCCCCCTTTCCTCCAAACATGTCTCCTCTCCTCTCCTCTCCTCTCCTCTCCTCTCCTTCTCTCTCCTCTCCCTCTCTCCCTCCCTCCCCTCCCTCCCCTCCTCCTCCTCCCTCTCCTCCCCTTCTTCCTTCTTCCTTCCTTCCCTTCCCTTCCCTTCCCTTTCTTTTGTTTCTCTCCCTCCCTCTTCCCCTCTTCGCTCTTTCTCTCCTTCTTCCTTCCTCTCCTTCCTTCCTCCTTCCTCCTCCTTCCTCCCTCCCTCCTCCCTCTCCTTCCTTCCTTCCTTCCTTCCTCCTTCCCTCCTCTTCTCTCCTCCCTCTCTCTCCTTCCCTCCTTCTCCTTCCTTCTTCCTTCCTTCCTTCCTTCCTTCCTTCCCTTCCTTCCTCCTCCTTCCTCCTCCCTCCCTTCCTTCCTTCTTCCTTCTTCCTTCCTTCCTCCTTCCTTCCTTCTTCCTTCCTTCTCCTCCCTCCCTTCTTCCTTCCTTTCTCCTCCCTCCCTTCCTTTCTCCTCCTCTCTGTCTCATTCTCCTCTTCTTCTGAAATTTGATGGTTGGGCTTCCTCACAATATGGCGGTTGGGTTATAAAGATGAGCATCTCAAGAGAACAAGGTGGAAGTACGTGATGTTTTTATGACCAGCATGGTATGTTTTGTGACCAAGTGTCACTTCCATCATAGTCAAGCATGCTCAGCTTTAAGAGCAGAGGACATGTATCCCACCACTTGATGAAAGGAGTACCAAGGTCTTTTAGAGAAGAGCATGTGGGATGGGAGATATTGTTTCAACCACGTTTGGCAAATACAATCTGCTACCCGGATGAGGTATATTTGTAATCCAGCTCTTTCTGCTGTCCAGATATTAATGAATGTTCTCAAAGCCCCCCGGTATGTGGTCCTCACTCAGTCTGCCAAAAACATGAAGGGGAAATACAAATGCAGCTGTGTTGCCTGGTTCTCTTCTCCCACTGGAAATGGCTGATCCCGGGAAAGCCTGGCAATTTTGCCTGTACAGGTAATGCTCCCGGGCCTCCTGGAGTGGGTCTTTGGTGGACATCTACGTTGGGTTGAGTTCCCGTGTTTGTAACTTAAACGCACCCATCTCTGGTGCACTCACTCTTCTCTCTCCTGCCAGACATCGATGAGTGTCACACCAGCGGATCTGCCCTGAGCATTCTCACTGTGCCAACTCATGGAAGCTACAGTTGCAACTGCAAGCTGGGTTCATCTCTGGCAAGTCCACCTGTGAAGGTATAAAGGACCAGCTAGTCATTGTTTAGCTACTTAATTAAGGATCACATCACTAGAAGACCATACCAGGAAGGATTTATTTTCTCATGTTTTAAATTTTATTTTATGATTGTTTACACAGGATTTCACTCTATCGCCCAGGTGGAAGCAGGGCATCTTCATAGCTCACAGCAACCTCAAACTCCTGGGCTCCAGCCATCCTCCTGTCTCAGCTCACGAGTAGCTGGGACTATGGCATGTCAACCATGCCTGGCTAATTTCTATTTTTGTACAGGCAGGTCTTGCTATGTTGCCCAGGTTGGTCTCGAACTCCTGGCCTCAAGCAATCCCCTGCCTCGGCCTCCCAAATTGCTAGGGTTACCGGCATGAGCCCACTATGTTCAGTCTTAATTTTCTCATTTGAGGGAGAAAACTGGGGGTCAAGGAGGTGAAGTAGCTTTCCCAAGTGTATGCAAGTATTACGTGAAAGCTGGGACTTTGAATTCTTGTTGGGCTACTATGAATCAAACACGGGGCAGGCTGGACTTGAGTATAATAGAAAGCTCTCGTTACTGAGTGAATCAATGGGCTTGCTGTCCAATGTGCGTAGAAGCTAACACGATGGACCAGCCTCTGAGAAAGAAAAGTTTACTGCAAGTTGCTGGTGGCTGGCAAGGAGAGAGGAGGGAGGATTGCTCAAATCTGTCCGCTGACCTGGGGCTGCCTCGGTTTTATAGGCATAGATAATGAGGCGTGATCTGATTGGATCTTGTAATGAGGGTGATGCAGGAGGCATGATCTGATTGGTCAGCCACGGGATGATGCAAGCTGGATCTGATGGAGCCTGGATCCTGCTGTGTGGTGTCCCCTTCTGAAGTCAGTCCCACTCCTCAGTCTGAGCACTTGATGTTCCGCCCACCGATGCATGCTTGGTTCAGCTGGGGTGACGTTCAACCTGGACGTCCATGGCAACCGCAAAACAACTCATAATTTGTCACATAAACAGAAGACCTGTTTTCAAATACGATTACATGCACAGGTATCAGGGTTTAGGACTTCAACTAACTTAGTTCATTCGTTCGTTCCTTTTTTTCCTTTTTCCATTACTTTTCCTTCTCTCTCTCTCTCCCTCCCCCACCCACGTTTCTTTTTCTGATTATGAAAATATAAAAGTTCCTGAAAAAGTTATGGATGGCTGTGCTTCCTCACAATATGGCGCTGGGTCTACGGTGGGCGTCTCAAGAGAACAAGGTGGAAGTACATGACGTTTTTATGACTTAGCGTGTGTATCTTTCAACCTGGTGTCACTGCCATCACAGTCACAAGCACGCTGAGATTTTGAGAGCAGAGGGACATACAGCACCACTTGATGAAAGAGATACCAAAGTCATGTTAAGGGTACTTCCCCCTTTCCTCCAAACATGTCTCCTCTCCTCTCCTCTCCTCTCCTCTCCTCTCCTCTCCTCTCCTTCTCTCTCCTCTCCTCTCCTCTCCTCCCCTCCCCTCCCTCCCTCCCCTCCCCTCCTCCCTCCCTCCCTCCCCTCCCCTCCTTCCCTTCCCTTCCTTCCTTCCCTTCCCTTCCTTCCCTTCCCTTCCTTTGTTTCTTCTCCTCCCTCCCTCTCCCCTCCTTCCTCTTTCTCCTCCTTTCTTCCTTCCTCTTCCTTCCTTCTTCCTTCCTTCCTTCCTCCCCTCCCTCCTCTCTCCTTCCTTCCTTCCTTCCTTCTCCTTCCTCCCTCCTTCCTTCCTCCTCTCCTCCCTCCTCTTCTTCCTTCCTTCCTTCCTTCCTTCCTTCCTTCCTTCCTTCTCCTTCTTCCTTCCTTCCTTCCTTCCTCCTTCCCTCCTCCTTCCTTCCTTCCTTCCTTCCTTCCTTCCTTCCTTCCTTCCTCCCTCTCCCCTTTCCTTCCTTCCTTTCTCCCTCCCTCCCTTCCTTTCTTCCTTCCTCTCTCCCTCCATTCCCCCTCCTCTCTCTTTCTGAAATTTGATGGTTGGGCTTCCTCACAATATGGCGGTTGGGTTATAAAGATGAGCATCTCAAGAGAACAAGGTGGAAGTACGTGATGTTTTTATGACCTAGCATGGTATGTTTTTGACCAAGTGTCACTTCCATCATAGTCAAGCATGCTCAGCTTTAAGAGCAGAGGGACATGTATCCCACCACTTGATGAAAGGAGTACCAAGGTCGTGTTTAGAGAAGAGCATGTGGGATGGGAGATATTGTTTCAACCACGTTTGGCAAATACAATCTGCTACCCAGGATGAGGTATATTTGTAACTCCAGCTCTTTCTCTGTCCAGATATTAATGAATGTTCTCAAAGCCCCCCGGTATGTGGTCCTCACTCAGTCTGCCAAAACATGAAGGGGAAATACAAATGCAGCTGTTTGCCTGGTTTCTCTTCTCCCACTGGAAATGGCTGGATCCCGGGAAAGCCTGGCAATTTTGCCTGTACAGGTAATGCTCCCGGGCCTCCTGGAGTGGGTCTTTGGTGGACATCTACCGTTGGGTTGAGTTCCCGTGTTTGTAAACTTAAACGCACCCCATCTCTGGTGCACTCACTCTTCTCTGCTCCTTGCCAGACATCGATGAGTGTCACACCAGCGGGATCTGCCCTGAGCATTCTCACTGTGCCAACTCCATGGGAAGCTACAGTTGCAACTGCCAAGCTGGGTTCATCTCTGGCAAGTCCACCTGTGAAGGTATAAAGGACCAGCTAGTCATTGTTTAGCTACTTAATTAAGGATCACATCACTAGAAGACCATACCAGGAAGGGATTTATTTTCTCATGTTTTAAATTTTATTTTATGATTGTTTGACACAGGATTTCACTCTATCGCCCAGGGTGGAAGCAGTGGCATCTTCATAGCTCACAGCAACCTCAAACTCCTGGGCTCCAGCCATCCTCCTGTCTCAGCCTCACGAGTAGCTGGGACTATGGGCATGTCAACCATGCCTGGCTAATTTTTCTATTTTTTTGTACAGGCAGGGTCTTGCTATGTTGCCCAGGTTGGTCTCGAACTCCTGGCCTCAAGCAATCCCCCTGCCTCGGCCTCCCAAATTGCTAGGGTTACCGGCATGAGCCACTATGTTCAGTCTTAATTTTCTCATTTGAGGGAGAAAACTGGGGGTCAAGGAGGTGAAGTAGCTTTCCCAAGTGTATGCAAGTATTACGTGGAAGAGCTGGGACTTGAATTCTTGTTGTGGGCCTACTATGAATCAAACACGGGGGCAGGCTGGACTTGAGTATAATAGAAAGCTCTCGTTACTGAGTGAATCAATGGGCTTGCTGTCCAATGTGCGTAGAAGCTAACACGATGGCACCAGCCTCTGAGAAAAGAAAAGTTTTACTGCAAGTTGGCTGGTGGCTGGCAAGGAGAGAGGAGGGAGGAGATGCTCAAATCTGTCCGCTGGACCTGGGGCTGCCTCGGTTTTATAGGCATAGGATAATGAGGCGTGATCTGATTGGATCTTGTAATGAGGTGATGCCAGGAGGCATGATCTGATTGGGTCATGCCACGGGATGATGCAAGGGCTGGATCTGATTGGAGCCTGGATCCTGCTGTGTGGTGTCCCCTTCTGAAGTCAGTCCCCACTCCTCAGTCTGAGCACTTATGTTCCGCCCACCATTGCATGCTTGGTTCAGCTGGGGGTGACGTTCAACCTGGACGTCCATGGCAACCGCAAAACAACTCATAATTTTGTCACATAAACAAAGACCCTGTTTTCAAATACGATTACATGCACAGGTATCAGGGTTTAGGACTTCAACTAACTTAGTTCATTCGTTCGTTCCTTCCTTTTTTCCTTTTTCCATTACTTTTCCTTCCTCTCTCCCTCTCTCCTCCCCACCCACGTTTCTTTTTCTGATTATGAAAATATAAAAGTTCCCTGAAAAAGTTTATGGATGGCTGGGCTTCCTCACAATATGGCGGCTGGGTTCTACGGGTGGGCGTCTCAAGAGAACAAGGTGGAAGTACATGACGTTTTTATGACTTAGCGTGGTATCTTTTCAACCTGGTGTCACTGCCATCACAGTCACAAGCACGCTGAGATTTGAGAGCAGAGGGGACATACACCGCACCACTTGATGAAAGGAGTACCAAAGTCATGTTAAAGGAACAGCGTGGGATGGGGGATATCGTTTCAATCACTTTTGGAAACTACAATCTGCTAACCCTGTTTCTCTGTCCAGATGTTGATGAGTGTTCTCAAAGCCCCCCAGCATGTGGTCCTCACTCAGTCTGCGAAAACATGCCGGGCACATACAGATGCAGCTGTTTGCCTGGTTTCTCTTCCCCCACTGGAAATGGCTGGATCCCGGGAAAGCCTGGCAATTTTGGCTGTACAGGTAATGCTCCCGGGCTCTCAGGCGTGGGTCTTTGGTGGACATCTACCATTGGGTTGAGTTCCCGTGTTTGTATTCTTACTCGCCCATCTCTGGTCCACTCACTCTTCTCTGCTCCTTGCCAGACATCGATGAGTGTCACACCAGCGGGGTCTGCCCTGAGCATTCTCACTGTGCCAACTCCGTGGGAAGCTACAGTTGCAACTGCCAAGCTGGGTTCATCTCTATCAAGTCCACCTGTGAAGGTATAAAGGACCAGCTCTTCATTGTTTAGCTACTTAATTACTTAGGGATCACATCACTAGAAGACCATGTGAAGAAGGGATTTTCTCACATTATTTTATTTTATGATCGTTTGAGATAGAATTTCACTCTCCTGCCCAGGGGTAGATGCAGTGGCATCATCATAGCCCACTGCAACCTTGAATGCCTCAGTGCCGACGATCCTCCTGCCTCAGCCACTTACTACTGTGTTGGAGTAATTTTTCTATTTTCTGTAGAGACAGGGTCTGGCTATGCTGCCCAGGTTGGTCTCAAACTCCTAGCCTCAAGCAATCCTCCTGCCTTGCTTGGCCCCCAGGTACTTTGGTAGGGCTAGGATTACAGGCATGTGCCGCCGTGTCTGGCCTGGATTTTCTCATTTTAGGGAGACAATTGGGGCTCAAGGAGGTGAAGTGACTTTTTCAAGGATGTGCAAGTGTTAATTGGAAGAGGTGGGACTTGAGGTCTTGTCGAGTGCCTACTGTGAATCAAACAGTGGGTCAGGCTGGACTGGAGTATAACAGGGAGTTCTTGTTACTGAGCAAATCAATGGGCTTGCCTCCGGTGTGCATAGAAGCCAAGACCGTGGCACCAGCCTTTGAGAAAAGAAAAGATTTATTGCAAGTTGGTGACTGGCAAGGAGAGAGGAGGAAATGCTCAAATCTGTCTGCTGGACCTGGGGCTGCCTCAGTTTTATAAGCATAGGATAATGAGGTGTGATCTGATTGGATCTTGTAATGAGGTGCTGCCAGGAGGCATGATCTGATTGGGTCATGCCATGGGATGATGCAAGGGCTTGATCCGATTGGATCCTTGATGGTGCCATCTGGTGTCCTCTTCTGAAGTCAGTCCCTGCTCCTTGGTCTGAGCATGTCTGTCCTGCCCACCATTGCATGCTTGGTTCAGCTGGGGGTGGTGTTCAACCTGGGGTCCATGGCAAGTGTAAAACAAATCATAATTTTGTTACATAAAACAAAAGAGATTACATTCACCGATGGCAGGATTTAAGACTTCAACTAATTTTCTTCCTTCCTTCCTTCCTTCCTTCCTTCCTTCCTTCCTTCCTTCCTTCCTTCCTTCCTTCCTTCCTTCCTTCCTTCCTTCCTTCCTTCCTTTTTTCCTTCCTTTCCCTACCGTTCTTCCTGCTCTTTCTTTTTCCGATTATGAAAATATAAAAGGTCACCGCAGAAGTTCATGGACGGTTGGGCTTCCTCACAATATGGCAGCTGGGTTCTAGGGATCAGCAGCTCCAGAGAACAAGGTGGAAAGTACATGATATTTGTATGACCTGAAATGGTATTTTTTGATCTAGTGTCACTTCCATCATAGTCACAAGCATGTTCCTCTTCAAGAGCAGAAGGGACATATTACCCCCCCCCCCAACATACACACTTGAAGGGAGTACCAAAGTCACATTAAACAAAGAGCACGTGGAATGGGAGATATCACCTCAACTGCTTTTGGAAAATACACTCTGCTAACCAGGATGAGGTATATTTGTAACTCCAGCTCTTTCTCTGTCCAGATGTTGATGAATGTTCTCAAAGCCCCCCAGCATGTGGTCCTCACTCAGTCTGCGAAAACATGCCGGGGACATACAGATGCAGCTGTTTGTCTGGTTTCTCTTCCCCCACTGGAAATGGCTGGATCCCGGGAAACCCTGGCAATTTTGGCTGTACAGGTAATGCTCTTGGGCCTCCTGGAGTGGGTCTTTGGTGGACATCTACCATTGGGTTGAGTTCCTGTGTTTGTAAACTTACTCGCCCCATCTCTGGTCCACTCACTCTTCTCTGCTCCTTGCCAGACATCGATGAGTGTCACACCAGCGGGATCTGCCCTGAGCATTCTCACTGTGCCAACTCCGTGGGAAGCTACAGTTGCATCTGCCAAGTTGGGTTCATCTCTAGCGAGTCCACCTGTGAAGGTATAAAGGACCAGCTATTCATTGTTTACCTCCTTAATTAATTAAGGATTACATCACTAGGAGACCATATGAGGAAGATATTTTCTCACTTTATTTTTATTATTATTTTTTGAGACAGAGTCTCGCTTTGTTGCGTAGGCTGGATTTGAGTGCCGTGGCGTCAGCCTAGCTCACAGCAACCTCAAATTCCTGGGCTCAAGCGATCCTCCTGCCTCAGCCTCCCGAGTAGCTGGGACCACAGGCATGCGCCACCATGCCCGGCTAAGTTTTTTCTATATTTAGTTGGCCAATTAATTTCTTTCTATTTATAGTAGAGATGGGGTCTCGCTCTTGCTCAGGCTGGTTTCGAACTCCTGACCTTGAGCAATCCGCCCGCCTCGGCCTCCCAGAGTGCTGGGATTACAGGCCGTGAGCCATCGCGCCCGGCCTCTCACTTTATTTTATTTTATGATTGTATGAGACCGGATTTCACTCTATTGCCAGGGCAGATGCAGTGGCAACCTCATAGCTCACTGAGACCTGGAACTCCCGGGATCCAGTGACCCTCCTGCCTCAGCCTCCTTAGTAGCCAGGCTTACAGGTGCAGGCCTCCACGTCTGGCTAATTTTTCTATTTTTTTTTGTAATGGCAGGGTCTTGCTATGTTGCCCTGGTTGTTCTCACCCTCCTGGCCTCAAATAGTCCTCCTGCCTCAGCCTCAGGCACAAAGTGCTAGGCATGAGCCACCACCTCCAGCCTGGATTTTCTCATTTTAGGGAGAAAACTGGGGGTCAAGGAGGTGAAGTAGCTTCCCCAAGTGTATGCAAGTATTACGTGGAAGAGCTGGGACTTGAATTCTTGTTGTGGGCCTACTATGAATCAAACACGGGGGCAGGCTGGACTTGAGTATAATAGAAAGCTCTTGTTACTGAGCAAATCAATGGGCTTGCTGTCCTATGTGCGTAGAAGCTAACACGATGGCACCGGCCTCTGAGAAAAGAAAAGTTTTACTGCAAGTTGGCTGGTGGCTGGCAAGGAGAGAGGAGGGAGGAGATGCTCAAATCTGTCCGCTGGACCTGGGGCTGCCTCGGTTTTATAGGCATAGGATAATGAGGCGTGATCTGATTGGATCTTGTAATGAGGTGATGCCAGGAGGCATGATCTGATTGGGTCATGCCACGGGTCGATGCAAGGGCTGGATCTGATTGGAGCCTGGATCCTGCTGTGTGGTGTCCCCTTCTGAAGTCAGTCCCCACTCCTCAGTCTGAGCACTTATGTTCCGCCCACCATTGCATGCTTGGTTCAGCTGGGGGTGACGTTCAACCTGGAGGTCCATGGCAACCACAAAACAACTCATAATTTTGTCACATAAACAAAGACCCTGTTTCCAAATATGATTACATGCACAGGTACCAGGGTTTAGGACATCAACTAATTTCTTTCCTTCCTTCCTTCCTTCCTTCCTTCCTTCCTTCCTTCCTTCCTTCCTTCCTTCCTTCCTTCCTTCCTTTTTTCCTTCATTTCCCTCCTTTTCTACATCTCTCCCTCCCTTTCTCTCATATCTTTCTGTCCTGATTATGAAAATATAAAAGTTCCCTGTAAAAGTTCATGGATTGTTGGGCTTCCTCACAATATGGCAGCTGGGTTCTAAGGGTTAGCGGCTCAAGAGAACAAGGTGGGAAGTACATGATATATTTATGACTTAGCATGGTATGTTTTTGACCTAGTGTCACTTCCATCACAGTCACAAGCATGCTCAGATTCGAGAGCAGAGGGGACATACACCCCACCACTCGATGAAAGGAGTACCAAAGTCATGTTAAACAAGGAGCACGGGGGATGGGAGATACCGTTTTAATCGCTTTTTGGAAAATACAGTCTGCCTTACCAGGATGAAGTATAGTTGTAACTCTGTTTCTCTGTGCAGATGTTGATGAGTGTTCTCAAAGCCCCCCAGCTTGTGGTCCTCACTCAGTCTGCGAAAACATGCCGGGCACATACAGATGCAGCTGTTTGCCTGGTTTCTCTTCTCCCACTGGAAATGGTTGGATCCCAGGAAAGCCTGGCAATTTTGCCTGCACAGGTAATGCTCCATGTTCTTCTATAGGGATGATGGCTACAGCATCATGAAAGGCCAGGAGCAATCGCCCTTATCACATGTCCCCTGGCTTAGTCTAAGAGATGTTGGCCGTCATCTCTACTTGTTCTCATCTATTTGTAGCAGTCACTTATGGCTGAGTAGCAAATCACCCTAAGAGTTAATGGCTAAAAACAACCACATTTATTTAGCTCTGGAGTCCTTGGGCTAGCAATTTAGGTCGGGCTCTCTTGGCCAGTTCTTTTGGTCTCACCTGGGCTGGTTCTTGTGTCTGCAGTCAGCTCATGTTGGCCGAGCTATTTCGCATGTCTGGGACTCATCTGGAATTGGTCGTTTCTCTTCCACTTGGTCTTGCCTTCTTCATTAGGGCTAGTCTGGGGTTTGTTCCTATGGCAGAGGTAAGAGGCCCAGGAGAATGAACAGAAGGAAACAGGTCTCTTAAGGCTTGAGTTTGGATCCAGCATCTTGTCACTTCTTTCTGCATTCTATTGGCCGATGCAAGTCACAGGGCCGGATATATTCAAGGTATGGGAAAACAGACCCTACCTCTTAGTGGCAAAGTCCCATGCATGCAATCTACATCCCAAGGTGTGAATACAGAGAAGAGTAGTGGACTATGGCCATTTTTGCAATCTCGGTTAATTATGTTTTGAAGCTATCTGCCACCCTTCTGCTTACATATCATTGGCCAGAATTCATTCTCATGCCCACGGTTAGGTGTAGGAGGAGACTGGGACACATGTCCCACTGTGTGCCCTGCCGGACGAAGGGGAGAACAGAGACACTGGGGCGCATCAGCCCAGTCTGCCGCAAATGGACATGCAGAGTGAATCTCTTCCCTGCCATCTGCAGGCGTCCTTCTCTTATTTACCTTGACCTGGGTTTGGGGTTTTCCCTTCCACTCCTCAGAGGTGGACGAATGTGCCAACCCCGGAGCTTGCCCGGAGCATGCGACTTGTTCTAACACTCTTGGAAACTACTCTTGCGTCTGCAACCCAGGATTTGAACCCAGTGGCGGCCCCCTGACTTTCCTGGGCGTCGGGGGATCCTGTGAAGGTAGGTGGAGGTGTCATTTGGGGACTCGGCTCCACGTCTGTTTGCAAAGATGCCAGTGACAGGGTTGGGGTGAGTCTATTGGGCTGAGTTGAAGACCTTCATCTGCAAATCCGAAGCCAATGACTATTCATCCATTCATTCGCTCACTCACTCACTCGTTCAACAAATACCTCTTGAGCACCTATCCTATATAATATTTAAGGCACTTGGGATAGAGCAGTGAATAATATCTCCAAATACCACCCTATTGGGGGTTTGGGCTTCAATATAGGAATTTGGGAGGGGGGCCACCGTTCAGACCATTGTACCCAGGAACACTGAGCTCCTAAATGACAGAGCCAGGCCTTGAACCCAGAAGAGAGTTCACTGGGAGAAAATCAACCTGTGTGGACTAAAGTTAACCTATGCACCTGCCTCATAAATTGCAAAGAGATTAGGACCAAATGATTCAGTGGGTGAGCTTGGTTGAGGCCAGGTTCTCAGAGCCTTGCTCCTCTAATGAGGAGTTCGGACTCCATCCTGAGCCGTGGGGAGTCTTATCAGAGTAGCTTATGGGTCGTGGATATGCCTCTAATGGTTGCTCTCTGAATGGTGAAAACCTGGTTCAGGAAGGTGAGATTGGAACCAGGGAAACACATTGGCTGCAGGCAGCGGTGAGGCTGTGAGCGGCTTTAGCCCCGGGCGTCCTTCCTTCTGTTGACTTAGACTGGTTTTTCTGCTTAGATGTGGATGAGTGCTCCAGGGACTCAACTCTCTGTGGTCCCAATTCCATCTGCGCCAATGTCCCTGGAGCATACAGTTGCTCCTGCCTGCCTGGCTTCTTTTCGCCCGATTTTCAGACCCTCAAGGATCCAGGGGCTTTTGAGTGTGCAGGTAAGTCTCCCAGCCAGGCTGAGGACGTCTCCATGGATGTCCAACAACCTTGAAACACAGCAGCTTCAGAACAACGACCTGCCCCCTTTTATTCTTGCTCACCATTCTGCAGGTTGAGCACGTGATGTTTAGGGCTCTAGGATGGCTGGCAGGTCCCAAATGGCCTGGCTTACGTGACTGGCAATTGGTGCTGGTCTCTCACTGGGATCTCGGCCGGGACCCTGAGCTTTCCTCGTGGGTCTTTCCACATCGCTGCTTGGGCTTCCTCATAGCATGGCAGCGCTTCTAAGAAAGGGCATTTCAAGAAGAAGAAAGCAAAAAACTGCCAGTCTTTTTATGGGCTGGGCTTGGAAGTCCCAGAGCATTCCTTCTACCACACTCTACTGGCCAGGGACCCAGGGCCCGTACAGATTTCCAGGAAGGGGAAATAAGCTCCCCATCTCACTAGAGGAGCAACATGTGCCTACGGGAAGTGGGGGAATTGCTGGAGGCCATCTTTGGAATGCCCACTCCATTGCAGCGTGCATTTTCTATTCCTCGACCCCCAGGAGGGGAAAATGCTTGCTTCTGTTCATTACAGAGGCTGTGTTTCTTGTTATCTGCTGATCTTCGCTAGCTGCTGCTATTGTTAGAAGCAGAATAGTAGAGCGGTCGAGTTGCAAGGGACCTCGTAAATGAGTCGGTACAGGTTTAAGTGCTCCCAGGAACCCGACTGGGATCCCATCAGACGGAGGCAAAAGCCATGCAGGGAAGGCCAGGGGCTCTCCCGTCCCGCTTTTGTCAAATTGTCACCTCTTTTATTTGTCCTACGTATTCAGGTTTCACTTCACACAAAGAAAAGCTTCCTGGGCAGAAAAAGTATTGGAAACCGTGCATCTAGTCTAAGTGCATGTGCAAATTTCAGCCACTAGACCACCAGGGACACATGCGTGTGTCATCTGTGCTCCCCGTGGCCAAGATGTCACCGGAAGCATGCTTAAGCGTTTCCGGAAGTGGGGATCTCTCTCCTATTAAATGCGGGGACGTCTTCCACGGTTCTAACAGGAAGCCCACTTCCCCTTACCTTCCAACACCGGCCCCTTCTTGTGTGTCTTTGGAGGCCTTCAAATTCATCCACGTCCATGGCACAAAGAGTTTTGGTTCCAATTCTCCACGGTGACGCCCCGTGCCAGACAGACACCATCTACTGCAAAGCTTGAGTCACTAGTCAGTGTTGCCTGTTCAGTCCTCCTATTTTGTGAGTTGGCGTACGAATAGGAAAGATTTTGTCTTTGCCTCCTTCCTAATAGTGTTTTCTTCCCCGCATCACATTTAACTCCGTGTATCCGCCGTAATTCAGAAACCGACCGAGGGAGAGCTAAGCCTCTGTTGGCATGGTAACCTGGCGTCGCCTTGGGGGTAGCTAAGTCAGGGCTTCTCAACCTTGGCACTGTTGACATTTGGGGCCGTATAATTTGTTTGCTGTTGGGGAGGGTGCTCTGTGCACTGTAGGATGCCCGGAAGCATCATTGGCCTTTATCCCCCCAGTTGCAGCTTAACCTAATAGAACTTTCTCACTCTTGTAACCAGACAATATGGATATACCTGGCCGGTGGGCAGCCTTCCTTCACATGGTGATAAAGGGACCAGGCCTGTCTCCCGTCTTTTGGTCCTCCCACCCCGTAGGGCCTTGGAGTCCCTTGTTCTGGCCGGTGGTGGAGGGGTGACACCTACTTCTTGAGCACCTATCCTATATAATATTTAAGGCACTTGGGATAGAGCAGTGAATAACATCTCCAAATACCACCCTATCGGGGGTTTGGGCTTCAACATAGGAATTTGGGAGGGGGGCCACCGTTCAGACCATTGTACCCAGGAACACTGGGGTACACATGGGGCCCCTGGGGCCCACATGTGACGTGCATCTCATAAGCCCTCCTGCTCCACGAGTGAAAACTAGTCACGTGGCCGCACCTCTGTGCAGAAGGTTCCAGGAAAGGAATTCTCTGGCAGGGAGACCCTTGTCTAGTGGAGCAGGACTCTATACTTTGGAGGAAGCATGGCTCAGCTGGAAGAAGCACCGGCCACCTCTGCTTCACACCCATCCCGTGCCCTGCAGATATCGACGAGTGCGCCGCCAGCAGGTGCCCCGCCAACGCGGCCTGCGCCAACACCCCCGGGAGCTACTTCTGCACCTGCCACCCGGGCTTCGCACCAAGCAGTGGACAGCCGAGTTTCGCAGACCAGAGAGTGACATGTACAGGTGAGGGGGGAGTTTGCCGGGGCAGCCCTGAGAAATCGTTTCTCCTCCTCGTGCCTCTGGGCTTCCTGATGGCCCCCAGTTCCTTGCAGATGCCGACGAGTGTTCCCAAGATCCGTCACCGTGCGGGCCACATTCCGTCTGCACCAATGTCCCCGGCTCCTACAGCTGCAGCTGCGCGGGGGGCTTTCGCCCCGATCCGGAAGGCTCCTGGAAACACGGCAACTTCAGCTGTAAAAGTAATAATCTCCTCGTGTCTCTTGGGGATGGGATCTGTGTCTTGCTTTGCTTGCAAAACGTCTCACTCTGCCCAACCCCTGGATCCTTCTCTCCCTTCCTCCTCATCCACATTTTCTTTTCTTTTTTTTTTAAATTTTTATTTTTAATGGACGAGGTTCTGGGGCCCCAAGAGCGAGGGGCCCCAGAAGTCGCCCCACATTTTCTTTTTATTCATTCATTCGAGAAATTGTTTTTGGAGCACCGATCAATTGATTAATTAATTAAACAGGTCCCTTGCACTAGGTACTGAGGATTCTTCAGTTCTGGATATGATTCTCGTCCTCATGGGGTTTATAGTCTAGGGAAGGAGGCGGGGAGCGCCTTCACACACAATTATGTGATATTTAGTAACTACTAGGATGAGTGCAACGATTGCAAATGCATAGGCCGGGCGTGGTGGCTCACACCTGTAATCCCAGCACTCTGGGAGGCCGAGGGGGGCGGATCGCTCGAGGTCAGGAGTTCGAAACCAGCCTGAGCAAGAGTGAGACCCCATCTCTACTATAAATAGAAAGAAATTAATTGGCCAACTAATATATACAGAAAAAAATTAGCCGGGCATGGTGGCACATGCCTGTAGTCTCAGCTACTCGGGAGGCTGAGGCAGGAGGATCGCTTGAGCCCAGGAGTCTGAGGTTGCTGTGAGCTAGGCTGACGCCACGGCACTCACTCTAGCCTGGGCAACAGAGTGAGACTCTGTCTTAAAAAAAAAGAAAAGAAAAGAAAAGAAAATGCATAGTGTGCTTTGCAGTGGCCAGTGAGATACTGAATTTGCACCATGCAAAGGACATTTAAGTGGAAACTTGGAGGAGGAGTAGGAATTCTCTAGATGAAGAGAGGGGACGACAGAGTTCCGGGTTATAGCATGTGCAAAGGCCCTGAGGCTCACGCAGAGTGAGTACAAGAGGAAGCGGCGTTAGATGCGTGCGGTGAGGTGGAGACAGGGCAGAGTCTGCAGGGCCTTGTGTATGTGCCGGGTGATGAATTTTGGAGTCCTTCCCCCCCCCCCCGAAGAACGATGGGAGATCAGAAAAGGCTTAAAATTTTAAAGTGATGGATGATGGGATACATTAAAAATATATGCTACTAATACTTATAGGGAGCCAATGAGGTACGACAATAAAATGAATATATCCGAGGCCCTTCCCAACATAAGAAAGAAAATATCAGCAAAGCCATTGTGTCTTCTGCATGTTCCCTCCCACTCTGTCTCCTCCTCAGAGGGACCCACCTGGAAATCTTTTTGTGTTCATTATTCTCCCACTTTTAAAAAAAAAAAATTCCCTCCTGGGTTTGTGGCCCTAAACAATGTATCTGCTTAGTTCGGCTTGCTTTTGGAGCTTTGCAAAAATGGTTTCATGCTGTGTACGGTCTTCTCTGATCTGCTCTTTTCACTCAGCACCGTGCTCCGTGGAGTCCCCCATGTTGTAGTGCACGGATGTTGTAGGTCGTCTATCTTCACTATTATGTGTTACGGCCGTGCCCGGTTTTTAAGCCGGAGAGGGGGGAGTGAAATCTGACTTGCTTTTTTAGCCTGCCTGGCTGTTGTTGACGTTTTTGGTTTGGTTGCTTTTGTTTTCTTCCCAGGAGTTCCCTTCAGGTGTAAGGAAGATGTGCTATCCAATAATAAACAGGCCCAGCAATGCCAAGGGGGAGCAGCATTGAAACCCGAATATGTGAGTGTTTTTGAAGGTTCCTAGTTCTTGAGGTTTTCCTAGAAGCCACTGAGGTAGGACGTTGTTTTTGCAGTTTTAACAAAGGCAGAAATAACAGTGGCCTAAACCAGATAGCAGTTTCTCTCTCTCTTCTGTAACAGCCTGAGTGTAAGATGTGCAGAGCTGATAATGATGGGTTCATAAGGCTCCCACCTTGTGGCCCAAGATAGCTGCTCCAGCTCCTGCCATCACATCTGCATTCCAGATAGTAGGAAGGGGAGAAAAGGAAGTGGAAGGCACAGTTTTTCCCTTTAAGTGCATGACCCAGTGTCACTTCTGTTTATACTTGATTGGCCAAAAATTAGTCACATGGTCACACGTAGCTGCAAGGGAACCTGGGAAGGAAGGATATCTGCCTATCTAAAACTCGAGGAGGAAGAAGGGGAGACACTGTTGGAGTCTCCCCACCAGCGAAGTCTCCCCAACAGTACTTGGATGCTGTTGCATCCGAGTGAGATGGGATGGGTGATACTCGGCCAGCCTGGCAGCGAGGAATTTGGACCTTGGACCTAATGAGGTCATTGCAGTGAGTAAAGTCTCTATAGCCTCTTTAGAAACTGATGCAACTATTCTAAATATGAGCTTGCAAATTAGCTTTGGAACTACCACACACCTTGGACCACTGTTTTTCTTTTTAAATTGTAAAATACGCATAACATAAAAGTCACCATTTTACATATTTGAAAGTGCACAATTCAGCGGCATGTAGTTCACCCACAGTGCTGTGCAACCATCACCACTACCTGGTTCCAGAACATTTTCATCACCCTAAGAAGAAACCCCGTCCCCATTAAGCGCTCACTCCCCATTATTCCCTTCCCCCAGCCCACGGCAAACACTGACCCTCTTTCTGCCTTCATGGATTTGTCTGTCCTGCACATTTCCTGTGCGTGGAATCGTACAATGTTAGTTCCTTTGTGTCTGGTGTCTTTCACTGAGCATGATTTTTTCAAGCTTCATTCACGCTATAGCATGTATCAGAATGCCTTCCTTTTTCAGGGCTGAGTAATATTTCATTCGAACCACTGTTGGCTCACACGCTTCCCCGTCTTTTTGTCCCGCTACATAGTTTTGCTGTTTGTTCGTGTTTGCTTCTTTTACTCATGCAAGAGAAAGGTGATGTGACTGTAATTTCGATCAAAGGATAGCTTTATTTCCCCGGGAATTCTCCATACTCGGGGATTCCGGATTCCGATGGGCTTGGTGGCTCCATTTGTAGATTACGTGCTTGGAGGAACGGACGGGGCAGTGCTCACAGACGCTCTCTCCTCTGGGGGACAGGTCTCCTTTTGTGCACTGATTAACGCCACCCTCCTCGTTCTGGACGACGTGTGCGGAAACGAAACCACCGCGGTTTATCTGGAGGTAAAAATAAAGTTTTTGTGTCTTGAGTTTGAGACATCTCGGGTACCTTTGGGGGTGTGGAAAGTCCTCTTTATAATTCATGGGTTGTGAGCTAACATGTAACGTATTATGGTTGTAAGGTTTTAAAAATTAGCATGCGGTAAAATTACCTTATTATTATTATTTTTTTTTTGGCATAAAGTTCTGTGAGTTTCATCACCTTGAATACATCTGTGGAACTACCACCACGATCAGAATACAGAACAGTTTCACTTCCTCCAAAAATTCCGTTTGGCTTTCTCTTTATACTCAGACAGACATAGTCACTCTCACCCCCAACCTCTGCACATGTCTGTCCCTGCAGTTTTGCCTTCTCAAGACCCTTATATAAATGGGATCACGGAGGATATGGCCTTTTGAGACTGACTTCTTTCACTCAGCAGAGTGCATTCGAGGCTCAACGATGTCGCATTGATAAATAGCCCCATTCCTTCTTCTTCTTTTTCTATAATTTTACCACTGGTGGCATTTAGTGCATTCACAGTACTGTGCAAAACCATCAGCACCTTCCATCTCCAGAACGTTCTCGTCTTCCCAAACCGAAGCTCTGTCCCCATGAAACACTCACTCCCCACCCGCTCCCCAGCCCCTGGCACCCACCGTCCCACTTCCTGTCCCTGTGGATCTGACAACTCTAGGGACCTCCTGCCAGTGGAATCACGCGGGATTTGTCCTTCTGTGTCTGGCTTATGTGACAGAGTATCATGTCCTCAGGGTTCATCCATGTTGCAGCGTGGATCGATGCTTCATTTTTTGCTTCATTCATTTTTTTTTTTATTGCTGAGTCATATCCCGTTTTATAAACACACCATGGTTTGTTCATCCATTTTTTTTTTTTTTGAAGGCGGCTCTTAAAAAATGTGTGCTATTTTTTATTTCAGTACGGCAGCACATAAATACCAAAAATATAATTTTAAAAAATTAGCATTATCATTTCTAAACAAAATGAGATAATCCATACATGTCACTCTGTAATCTGCTTGATTTAACAATAGCTCATTTGCAAGTGTTGGTCACTGTCAGAAAAAAAAAAACCCTCACAAAACAATAGACCATGGTCTTTTTTTTGCCTATTAATACGTATAAGGTATGCTACGACATTCTTCCTTTCTTTTTTATTTTTGCTTTTTTTGCTGTTTTATTTTAATTTTTTTTCTATTTCAGCATATTAGCGGGGTACAAATATTTAGGTTACATAGATTGCCTTTGCCCCACCCGAGTCTGAACTTCAAGCGTGTCCAACCCCCAGACAGTGCGCACCGAACCCCTTAGGTGTGAATATACCATCCCCTCCGCCCCCTCCCACCTGCCCAGTACCCAGTGAATGGTACTACTTACTATATGCCCACTGAAGTATTGATCAGTTAGTAGCAATTTGATCAATGCCATTCTTTTTAACAGCTGCATACTATCCCGCGATTTGATTGTTCCACCCTCGTTTATTTAACCGATCTAGTGGGCATTTAGACTTTCCACAAACCATCCCAACGCAAACATCACTGGACAAGATCCTTGTACAGAGCTTAAGGATTTCTGGAAGGATCAATTCCTGGAAGGGAAGTCGCTGGGTCCAAGAGTAGGTGCGGTTTATGTTGTCGCAGGTGCTAAATGCCTGAATTCCAGAAAGGCGACACCAGTGTGCACTCCCAGTGGAGCGTCTTGAACTGGGAAGAGGGGCCTGAGCGGAGGGTCTTTTCAGTTTGCCTTTGGTCTCGACTCCCAACCGTGTCTTCCTAAAGAGAGACAGGACGGCTGTCGTTTCATTGGTGCCGCAGTCGTGCTGTATGCCAGACGCACGACCCGCGCAGCACGCACGAGGCGCGGTGCGCCGATCGGTCATTCCTACGCCTCTGGGAGCCCGCACGGCGGGCGGATCGCTCGAGGTCAGGAGTTCGAAACCAGCCTGAGCAAGAGTGAGACCCCTGTCTCTACTATAAATAGAAAGAAATTAATTGGCCAACTAATATATATAGAAAAAATCAGCCGGGCATGTGGCACATGCCTGTAGTCCCAGCTACTCGGGAGGCTGAGGCAGGAGATCGCTTGAGCCAGGAGTTTGAGGTTGCTGTGAGCTAGGGCTGACGCACGGCACTCACTCTAGCCTGGGCAACAGAGTGAGACTCTGTCTCAAAGAAAAAAAAAAAAAGAGAGAGAGAGAGAGAGGGAGGGAGGGAAGGAGGGAAGGAGAGGGGAACACGAACAAACACATCTGTCCTTGCAGAGCACAGCCAACAGCCTTGCTGCTGTTCTTGAACGAACGTCTGCACTGTCCGAAGTCTCCAAGGAAAAGACGTCCGCCCTGGGCACGGCCATCCTGGAGAGTGTGGAAAGTGCCATGCTGGCGGCTCTTCTGGACCCCTCTGCGGATCGCCAGTCGGACTATTCGGACGGAAAAGCTGGGTAGGGTAACCCACTCGTGGCGAGTTTGACTGTGAGTGGTCGGTCACTCTGGCTTTTAAAGTGATTTTCCGTGACTGCCCCACCCGCCTTTTCTCCCACTGTCTCAAAGCCCTGACGTCCCAGCAAAGCAAGTGTAGTCAGAGCCTGTCCCGTTCCGCGAGTGCTTGGCAGGGGCCAGGCCCTGTGCTAGCAGCGTGTCCTTCATTTATTCGGCCAATATTTGCGCTGGGTTAAGGCACGAGGGCTGTTTGCCGCGTTCCGATATTTCCGGCTCTCCCTGCTGGGAACGTGGTAGGACTGCGCTTCCTGGCTCTCTGGGGTTAGCTGGGATTTTGTGGCCAGTGGACTGGGGAAGAGAAAGAGTTGCTGGTGTGAGATGTTCCAGAACTTTCTTCCCCCCTGACGTAGTGGCTGGCGGTGTTTCAGGCCACAGCTGCTCCATCTGCCTGGGTCCCAGAGTGAGGAAAACGCAGAGTGTGGCCCCGGATCGATCGACGGCAAACACAAAGCATTAAGGAGCAGCGCGTCCTTGCTATTTTCTAATGCACTGAGACTGGGGGCTGTTTGTTACTGCGGCATGACTAACCCTTTCCTGACTGATGCGTGCTTGATGGGTGGCCGCTTGGGAATACTGGGTGCTGTGGCTCTTTTATAGCAACACCCCACTCCTGGTAGTAGTTCCTGTATCATAAACCTAGGAAATGCCTTCCTAATGGATGCCCAGGAGCCCAGGAGGTAGAGTTCGAGTATTTGTTGAGCTCCCACTAGTAGTGAACACAATTGACCTCACAGGTTTTTTTTTTTGTTTTTTTTGTTTTTGTTTTTTTGAGACACAGTCTCGCTCTGTCGCCCAGGCTGGAGTGCAGTGTTGTCGTCATAGCTCACTGCAGCCTCCAACTCCCGGGCTCAAGCAATCCTCCTGTCTCAACCTCCCAAGCAGCTGGGACTATAGGGGCACACCACCACACCCGGCTAATTTTTCTATTATTATTATTATTTTTTTTGGTAGAGATGAGGTTCTCACTCTTGCTCAGGCTGGTCCTGAACTCCCAACCTGGAGCCATCCTCCCACCTCAGCCTCCCAGAGTGCTGGGATTACAGGCGTGAGCCACCGCGCCCGGCCACACGGCTTTATATTTTAGTGAGTTGAGTCAGACGATAAACAAACGGACATCTGGTTTAACAGATAGCGGCAGCTCTATTGAGGACAATACAGCAGGCCAGGGAGGGTAGAGAGGGTCTGGAGTTAGCAGGGGAGTTGCCAGTTATACGTTGTGGTCAGGGGAGGCCTCACTGGGGCAGGGACCTCGAGGAAGGGAGCTGTGTAGCTGTCAGGAGAAAGAGCACGGGTAGAAATACTTGGGGAGCTCAAGGAACAGTGGGGTGGCCAGTGTGGCTGAAGTGGCAGAGGCCAGCGGCCCCCAACATTTTTGGCACCAGGGATCAGTTTCGTGGAAGAAAAATCTTTCCATGGGCAGGGTGGAGGGGAGGGGTGGTTTTGGCATGATTCGGCTGCATTGCATTTACTGTGCAGCCAAACCTCTCTGCTAATCACAATCTGTATTTGCAGCGGCTCCCCAGTGCTAGCATCACCCCTCAGCTCCACCTCGGATCATCGGGCATTGGATGCTCATAGGAGCCGAATCCTAGACCCCTCGCATGCACAGTTTACAGTAGGGTCCGCGCTCCTATGAGGATCTAACGCCGCTGCTGATCTGATGGGAGCCGGCTCCCAGCAGGCCACACAGACTGGTATTGGTCTGTGGCCCGGGGTTTGGGGACTGCAGGCGTAGACGACAGCGAGCACGGTCAGAGAAGGGGTCAGAAAAGAAAGGAGGAGGAAGATTTTGCAGATAAATGTAGGGACTTAGAGAGTTTTATCTGAAGTAAGATGGAGGGCATTGGAGAATTTGGAAATAGGCATGGCATCATTTAATTTATACTCCAAGAAGACTCGATTGGTTCCATTGTCTGTTTTGTTTCCATGAGCAGTTAATGGGATAGGGTGAGAGATGGGAGGCTCAGAGAGGTTAAGTCATTGCTCAAATCGGCCCAGCTGGCGGGTGGCAGAGCTGGGTGTCCTAGTCCCCACCGTGTGACTGCACCACCGTGCCCCAGCCCCTTCCTGTCTCCTCTGGCTTTGGAAAGCTTGTCTGAATGTGGAGTAGCCAGAAGATCAGGGCTCTGGTGCTTTCCATTGCCGTTGACTTCCGCCTCCTCTCTCCCTGATGCACCTGCTACATACAACGAGAGACCTTTCCGTTCTTTCCCTTTGTTTGCAACTTTTGCATGCAACTTGTCCGTGTATGCCTTTCCTGGACAGGCACTAAATTCGGGACCCGCTTTCTGGGTGACCTCGTACAAAGCCTCCCTTTCTCTTTTTAGACATCGAGAGCAGAGTTATGGGCGAAGAATGCACCGGACAGAGCACGGCGTTTAGACTGAGAGCCAAAGGGGACGAGATGAAGGTTGGGTGCTCCACCATTAAGGAATCCGCTTCCCCAGGTACCGCCCCCGCTCCCCGGAACCCAGGCCGGGCCCTCCCTCGGCAAGTAGTCACCTTCTAGATGCCAGGACCGGCGCCAGGCGGCTGAGAACCAGTGAGAGCGGAGGAGGCAGGAGGGGCCCACGCCCTCAGAGGGGCCTCCACCTGCGAGGGGAGCCAAGCATGCATTAGATGGCCTCACAATACAATTTCTTTTTTTTTTTTTGATTGTGGGAAGGGTCACCAGTCTGGAAGTTCACTGGGGTTTCAACCCTCAGAGCAGCCCAGTGTGGCGCGTGGGATGTTGAAGTGTGTGTTTGTGCATGTGTGCGTGTGTGTTTGTGTGTGTGTGTGTTTGTGTGTCTGTGTTTGTGTGTGTTTGTGTGTGTGTGTTTGTGTGTGTGCATGTGTTTGTGTGTGTTTGTGTGTGTGTGTGTGTGCATGTGTTTGTGTGTGTTTGTGCGTGTGTGTTTGTGTGTGTTTGTGCGTGTGTGTTTGTGTGTGTGTGTTTGTGTGTGTTTGTGCATGTGTGTTTGTGTGTGTGTTTGTGCGTGTGTGTTTGTGTGTGTGCATGTGTGTGCATGTGTGTTTGTGTGTGTTTGTGTGTGTGTGCATGTGTGTTTGTGTGTTTGTGCCTGTGTGTGTGTGCGTGTGTGTGTGTGCGCGCGTGTGTTTGTGTGTGTGTGTGCGCGTGTGTGTTTGTGTGTGTGCATGTGTGTTTGTGTGTGTGCATGTGTGTTTGTGCGTGTGTGTTTGTGTGTGTGTTTGTGCATGTGTGTTTGTGTGTGTGTTTGTGCGTGTGTGTTTGTGTGTGTGCATGTGTGTGTGCATGTGTGTTTGTGTGTGTGTTTGTGTGTGTGCATGTGTGTTTGTGTGTTTGTGCGTGTGTGTGTGTGCGTGTGTGTGTGTGTGTGCGCGTGTGTTTGTGTGTGTGCGTGTGTGTTTGTGTGTGTGCGTGTGTGTGTTTGTGTGCGTGTGTGTGTGTGCGTGTGTGTGCGTGCGTGTGCGTGCGTGTGTGTGCGTGCGTGTGTGTGTGCGTGTGTGTTTGTGTGTGTTGGGTCATCCATAACAACTATTCACCAAACGATCGCCCCCTTTTCTTCCCCCCCATTGTGGGCGACCTGCAGGGACCGTGGGAGTGGCTTTTGTGTCCTTTGCGGGCTTGGAGTCCGTTTTAGACGAACGCTTCTCCCAAGACCTCCAGAGCCCCTTGGCCAACCCCAGGACAAGACTGAAGATCAATTCTCGCGTTATCGGGGGCGTCATGACGGGGGAGAAGAAAGAGAACTTCTTAGAGCCGGTGGTCTACACGCTGGAGAACACCCAGGTTCGTGGAGCAATCTGCCGACCCGCAGGGTCACATCTGCCGGGACTCCCGACCCTCGGCGGCCTGGGCTCTCGCCCCGCACGCGGCACCTGCACGCGGCAGCTCCCGGCATCCCCAGCACCTCCAGGCACCCCCGAAGGCCAGCCCGGGGGGACGAGCTCCCCCGTCTCCCCGTGGGGCTCTTCCCTTCGGCCACCGGCAGCCTATGCAGGACCGGGGGAGCCACCTCCACGCAGGAGCCTTTGTGGGTGGCTTGTTTACCCGAAGCGCGTTCGAGTCCGCGGTGGAGACACGTCGGGGCTCTAAGACGTTTGCATTTCATCACTGCATCTGGAAATCGCAGCGTTTCCCTCCACGCCCCGAAGTCCTCTCGAGGTTGGCCGGGCCAACTCCGTTTGAGGGGGGACCCTCAGGTGACAGGGGCCTTTGTTTTGCAGCCCAAGCAGGAGTCGGAGAGTCCCATCTGCGTTTCCTGGAGCGCGGCGGGCGGGAGATGGACGGCCTCTGGCTGCGCGGTCCAGGAGGCCTCCGCCACCCACACCGTCTGCAGCTGCCGACACATGGCCAACCTCGCCGTCCTCATGGCTTCCGGCGAGCTCACGGTCAGCGTGGACGGCCTCCTCTCCGGCTCCCCCACCCCGTCCCACGGGGAAATATTGACTAAACATCTGCTGCGTGTCCCCCAGGGTGTCGGGGTGTGTGGGAGGGGGTCGTAGGGACAGAAGGGGCGTGCGCCACGCCTCTGCCCCGCCAGAATTCGCAGACCGGTGGGGGAGCCCTGATGCTCGAGGATAAAATGGGAAATCAGGACCCCAGGCAATCACAGATCTTACCGAATGAGCACTCACAGCGTGCCGGGCTCTGTGTTTTAAGTGAAGTGTTTGTGGACCCATTTCGCAGGACGGGAGACTGAGGTTCCTTAAGCCCACCCAGCCATGAAGCTAGGAATGGGTGGAGGTGGTGTTCGAACCCAGGGAAGTCTGGCTCCAGACTTGGTCTCTTCCCCCCAAACCATACACATGGAGCAAGACCTTGTGCTGTAGGAATTTGGAGATGTTTCAGGGAGAGCTGATGGCAGGTCAGGGAGGACACGGGCTGTGACATGAGCCTGGGCGAATGGGTAGATTTGGCAGAAAGGAAAGACATCCTCAGGGTGTTGTGGAGACTGTCTTTGGCTGTCACGCTAGACCTGAGGCTGGATTCCGTGCCAGGGATGTCTTAAATGCTGCTTAGACGACCATGCGGCTTAGCATTTAAGACAACAAGATCCAGAGAAAACACTGATCTATTTTCAAATCCCATCTCCAGCCCTTCCTAGCTGTGTTTTCTTGGACACGTCACTCAACCTCTCTGAGCTGAGCCTAGCTCTCTCATCTCAAAAATGAGAACGAGGGGAAAAAAAAAAATAACCCTGACGCCTAACACTTCTATAATGCATAGTATGTTTCAGGTGCAGTTCTACTTTTAAGTATGCTCGTTTAATCCTCCTAAAACAACCCTCTAAAGCAGTCACTGTGAACATTCCCATTTTAACAGATGAGGCAACTGAGGCACAGACCAGTGGAGTCTCTTGTCCAAACCCACACAGCTCAAGGCGGGCAGGATTGTAGTCAGTTTTCTTGACCACTTTGTTGACAATATTATGGCAGGGGGTCATGAGACAGTGCCTGGCCTATCTTTAACACAGAGGAAGCGCTCAAATAAATGTAACATCAATCTTAAGACGAGCTATGAATGGATGGCACAGGGGAAGGACTGGACACATCATGTTCTACTCCCAGAAGTCCAAGTGTTCCCAAATGTTTGAGTGCCAGTCAGGATTCAGGGCAGGAAGCAGAAACCACTCCAGGTATTTCAACCAGAAAGAGATTGAACGCAGGGAATTGGGTGCTCATAAAATCGCTGGAAGGAGATGGAGGAGTTGGAGTCGGGGAGCTGCCACTTGGATTTTGCCTTCAAGGTGACACCCCCACCTGCAGCTGCAGTCCAGTGGCCAGACATTGGGGACTGTCACGTCCCCTCCTCCACCCCCATAAATCTGGGGACTGAACAGTTGGAATATGACATCTAGCCACAGCTGGCTCCTGTCTGAAGAAAGCTGCTATCTGCTTCCCTTCTGCCTTCCAAACCGTTCACATCTCTTTGGAGAACCTGAGTCACACCCACGACCTTAGCCCTCAAGGATTCTGGGAGATGTAGTTTGTGGACGTCCATCCCAGAACACACGGGGTGGAGCGGAGCATAGGACAGGGCTGGGAGTGCGTGGAAGGCAAAAGGTGATGATGGACCCAGCTCACTCTGAGTGTCCAAGGGGAAAAAAAATGCTCTGAGTCCTTTCTGCCCGAGCCAGGGGTCTGGACAATTTTTTTCCTACCTGGGGAGGATTTTGATCCCCTTCTGAGGCCAACAGTGGAATCTCTTCCCGACAGATGGAGTTCTCCTTGTATGTCATCAGCCACGTGGGCATGCTCATGTCCCTGGTGTGCCTCATCTTGGCCATTGCCACCTTCCTGCTGTGTCGCTCCATTCAAAATCGCAACACCTACTTCCACCTGAACCTCAGCGTGTGCCTCTTCTTGGCCGAGATTCTCTTCCTCGTCGGTATAGACAAGACCGACAACCAGGTGCACATCCTTTGGGCTGTGTCCCCGCCACCTCCCCACCTGCCTCAGCTCGTCCCTACTCAACTCCCTCGATGCTTGCTCCGACCTCAGGGCCTTTGCGCGTGCTGTGCCCTCTGCCTGTAACACTCTCCCCCTGGGCTCCTCAGTTTAAAATCACTTCCCCGATGATGATCGTGTTGTGGATTGCGGTCGTCCTTCCAATTACTTCCTAAACCAGTGGCTGTCACCGCAGGGTGATTTTGGCCCCCCTAGGGGCAACATCTGGAGACATTTTTGGTTGTCACCACCCGGGGAGGGGAGGATGCCACTGGTACCTAGTGGGTAGAGGTCAGGGATGATGCTAAACGTCCTATAATGCACCAGACAGTGCCCCACGACAGAGAATGCATCCATAGCCATAGCGCCACAAACGTCAGTGGTGCTACAGCTGAGAATCGACTCCATTCTATCACTCTATCTGTCCCCCTACGGCGCTTACGCTAAGCCATATTGATTATTCATTGGTTTATTTCCTTCTGTCTCTACCTCCTCCACTCAACCAGGAGCCCCACGGGGGCAAGAACACTGGCCGGTCCCCCCTATAACCTTACCAGACACATAGTGTAGGCTCTCAGGGTTTCCCAAAAGGAGAACTGTCCACATCTGGAGGGGAGATGATCACTCTTAGTGCAGAGACACCCCTCTCACTGGGGGAGGCTCAGCTTCTCTGACCTCCTGAGAACCAAAATTCTGGTAGGGACCTCGCCCCCCCCCATCATTCGGCTAGAGGTGGGCAAGCCTTTTCTGTAAAGAGCTAGACAGCCAACATTTTCCACGTTGCAGACCGCACAGTCTCTGTCGTGACGACTCAGCCCTGCTGCTGTAGCATGAAGGCAGCTGTAGATCACACATGCGTACACACACACACACGCGCGCGGCACTGTGCCAATAAAACTTTATTTACAAAACAGGCAGCCAGCCCACGGGCTGCAGTTTGCTGAAGCCCCGTATCTTCCTCCAGACACTCCCTAAAGCAGGGTGATCGACTACCAGTTTTCCCAGCGCTCCTCCAGGTGAGGACTGAAAAATCACACGTCCTGGGAGACCTCAGTTCCCAGACAGACCCAGGACCATGAGTCCCCTTCCCGCGGAAGGCACTGGCCCCGCTTGGGAACCTCTGCGTGTCTGTGGATGTCTGGGAGACGAGGGAACGGGCCAGGGCTGGGGGACTCCAATCCCCGCAGTGGCTCCCCGGCCCTCTTGCCCTCCCCCTGCTCTCTGGGCGGGGCCTCCTGACACGCCCCTCCTCCCCAGATGAGCTGCACCATCATCGCGGGTGCCCTGCACTACCTGTTCCTCGCCTGCTTCTTTTGGATGCTGGTGGAAGCTGTGATGCTTTTCCTGATGGTCAGGAACCTGAAGGTGGTGAACTACTTCAGCTCTCGCAATGTCAAGACGCTGTACCTCTGCGCCTTTAGCTACGGACTGCCCGCGCTGGTGGTGGTTGTCTCCGCCAGCGTACATCCGCGGGGCTATGGGATGCATGACCGGTGAGTGACATCTTCCTTCTCCCCGAAGACCCTGGAGTCATAACAGTAGCAATAGTTGTGGCTGCCACTTATTGAGCTCTTACTTGTTGTACTGCTGGTGCCAGGGCTGTCATGCACAGCGGCACAGGTTGTGCACTGTGCAAACCTAGAAGTCACTACTGTGATACCTGAGGCTCACATTCTGGGGAGAGAACATCTGGTTGGGCTAACTTGATTATTTTCCTTCTCTCATCTGTGCGTGTGGCGGGGGTTGGAAAGGGGGAAGGATACGTCTGTTAAAGGAATATTAAAGTGCTGTTATTGAACATGAAGTAGTGGTTATCGTGTGGGAAAAACAGCAAGTGTGCACCAGCAATGTGACAGGAAGAGGCAAGCCAGTCTCCCTCCCTCCCTCCCTCCCTCCCTCACCTCTCTCGCCTCCCCTTCCCTCTCCTCCCATCCCTCCTCCTCCTCCTCCTCTTCTTCAACCTTCCTTCCTCATCTATACTTCTTTCCTTCCTTCCTTCCTTCCTTCCTTCCTTCCCCTTCCTTCCTGTAAACAAATACGCAATGCCTTGTCCATGCCAGGCTTTGCCCTGGGTGCTGGGCACGCAGAGATAAACATCCAAGGTCCAGGTTTTTACGTAGCTCTGGTCTAGTGGGGAAGCCAGCCTGCAAGTACACAAAGAATTGCACGAGAGGATACTTACGATAGTGACAGTTGTCACTTGAAAAGAAGGCAGTGAGTTCTCCTAGAGAGTGGCCAGGGGTAGACATGGGATATTTTAGCCAAGGGTAGTCAGGAGTGGCTTCTTAGAGGAGGTGAGGTTGGAATGACAAGGTGTACCCGCAGGGAGGTTTGCATGGGAGCAGGTGGGGGAAGGGATCACGAAGGTTATGAACTGAGGATGAACTCAAGCTCGGGCACCAGGTGAACATTTCAGGGACATTTTCCCCAGGAAGGTCTGAAAGAGAAAGAGGTCTGGTCCACAGCAAACCGAAATGCAACCTGAACTATCGAGAGAAGCATCTGAGTCTCACCTCCCCAAATCCTCCTCCGTTTGTGCGGTTGTTGGGGCATAAATATCTGTAGGGTCAGGACTCTGAGACCAGCGCTGACTCCTGTTTCTCTCCGTAGCTGCTGGCTGGATACCAAGAGAGGGTTCATCTGGAGCTTCTTGGGGCCGGTTTGCACCATCATAACGGTAAGCAGATTTCTTGGCGAAGAGTGTCCTGGAGCAGGAGCAAGGAGTCCCGAGGGACAAGGAACCGCCAGAGAAGTGCACAGCTGAGACCACTTATTCCTCTCAAACGTTCTCCTTCAGATCCTTGATCCTCGAGATTTCCAAGTTAGAGAGTCATTTCTTTGACTCGTGATTTGTTTTTTTCATGCTGAAATGCAAATGGCCCCAGGAAGGGCAATCTTATCCGCCGTCCTTTGTGCTTCCCTGAGAATGGGTCTCTCAGAGCCTCCTAGATGTAGAGGTGGAAGGAAAGAGAAACTAAAACGAAATTAAAGGCGGTTGTAAGGGGGAAACGTGGGGAGGCAGGGGGAATAATGGTGGGCAGAGGCAAAGGGAGGTCCGGGGAGGTGGAGCACCATCTCTTTGCTTCCCCGCCTCCCATCCAGACTCCACTGTCCCGCCAGATGACCTTTCTTCTGGCTCTCACTCATGGTGGCTCGTTTCCTTGTGTCATTGGCAACTTTGAATTGTGAGCTCACGTTTGACCGGCCTGAGTCTTGGGAATACTCTAGAGAGGTTTTGCTCCGATGCCCAGCAGATTTTTGCCCTAACACGGTGCCACACACTGGGTGACTTGGAGCAGCAGATATTTATGGTTTCACGGCCCTGGAGGCTCAATGAAGTCTGAAACCAAGGTGTGGGCGGGACCACGCTCCCCCTGCGGCCACGAGGGAGGGATGTGTTTCAACTTCTGGGAGCCTCGGGCATGGCTTGGCTTGTAGTTGGCCGTGTTCTACTGTGTCTGTCTGCACCTCATCCTCCCTGCGTGAGTGTCTGTCTCTGTGTCTAAAGGTTTCCGTTACGACCTCGTCTTAACTGGATTACGTCTATAAAGACTCTTGTCTCCAAATAAGGTCACATTCGGAGATCCTGGCTGTTAGGGCTTCAATGCGTCTTTTTTTTTTTTTTTGACATATCTTTTTCAACCCATAGCAGGGCACTACCAGCCTGAAACAAAATGTGAAATAGATTTTTCATTGCAGGGTTTCCCAGACTATGAAGGTAACAAAAATTTCAACTCCCAACCCACGGAAGGCCAGAGCTATGGTTCTTTCCTGCCTCCTGCCTCCTCCTCTTCCTCTCTCTCCCCACCTCTCCTTTTATTTTCTTTCTGCCTCTCTTTTTCTTTTTCTTTTTTTTTTTTTTTTTTTTGCTGAGACAGGGTCTCACTCTGTTATGTCTTCTCTTTTTTTTCTTCACTAACATTCAAAGCCTAGATAGAAAAGTTACCTTATTTGCCAAGATATTTTTTGTGCATTCTTTCAATGAGGGTGTGGTCCTTGCTGTATCCGTGGACTCCCTGATGTCCGTGGAACCCAGGGCTCTTGCCCGTGTCTTCATGAATGACCTTCAGTCCCCAATGCTTTGGAGTCTTGATTTTTGGGGACGCAGGTGGGGCAGCTGCAGCATTCCAGCTTCATAATTGCTCTCTCGGTGGTGCCTCTGTGGATTGCTTTTACTTTTGTGCAAGCTGTGACACATTCAAGAGGCTGCCAACCGGGGTTTGTCCGCATTTGTGGTGTTTTGTCATGAGAGGGCTTTGCAGAGTCGTAGTCCTCTGGTTCTTGAGACCCTTCTGTGGTTTCTCTGTTGCTGTCAGAACACTGCCCACCCTCTAAGCCTGGCACCTAAGGTCCTTCCAGACCTGGCCCTGCCCAGCTTCCCGAGTGTCCCTTTCTTCCCCTGCCCTGCAAGTTCAGCCCTCCGGCTCTACCTCCGGACTGTCCCCTCCCTGGGGACACCAAGCTCTCCCCTGCAGACCTCCCCCATGGAGGCGGTAGTGGGGTCCAGCCCATGCATGTGAGATGCTTCGTACGACGCCTGGCATCTCGACCAGAGTGCAATTATCTTAGCGCTGAGCAACCGTGGGAAAGACACTGATTCTGATAGTGATAACGACATGCCTATCTCGCCCATTCTGGAATCTTCACGGACGTGGAGCTCTCCTGGGAGTTTCGCTCGTTTGGAACAAACAGCTCCCCTGGAGCAATTGTTCTCAGCTGGGACAGTTTTGCCCCGGAAGGGAACTCGGCAAAGGACGGAGATATCTGTGGTTGTCGCGAGGAGGAGGGTGGGCACTGCGGGAATCTAGCGGGCAGAGGCCAGTGGCGATGCTCAACTTTGGACGATGAGACCCTACGTGTCAGCTCTGCCATGGCGGAGAAAGCCTGCGTTAGGAGGGCGTGCGTCCCAGGCTCAGTGGGGACCCAAATGAGGACGAGCAAAGGCTATTTACTCAGACTGGAGTCTTAGACTCCAAGGCGGGCAAAGGGCTGGGATGTCTTCACAGTGGAAGGGAGAGAGGGCTCAGGCGCGCCCCGATGGGAAGCCGTTGGCACCGGGTGGCGGCTGGTGGCTCGCTGGGCGCAGGCTGTCCTACAGGATGGGCTGTAGGAGTGCACGTCGGCGTCCTCCTTTGGGTGTTGAGTTGGAAGCAGGGATAAAAACTGGGGGCGCCGTCAGTTATTAACCAAGTCCCGGTTGTCCGGGGATGATTGCCACCCGGGGCGTTGTTTGGCTCGCTGGGTTGCACTGCGGGTCAGGGCTCTCTTGGCACCACTGTCCGCTGGCATAGTCAGTCTCTCCCACTTGTCTGCTTGACTCTGTAGGTCAACTCGGTCCTCCTGACTTGGACGCTGTGCATCCTGAGGCAGAAGCTTTCCAGCGTCAACGCAGAAGTCTCGACGCTAAAAGACACCAGGTGCAGCTCTCTGTCCTGTTTTAGTTTCCCTTCCTTCCTCCCACAGAAGTTCCTCGTGCATCTTTTGTGCGACACAGAGGGGCTGAGGGCTGGTTAGAACAGCACGGGGTCTAGAGCAGGAGGCTCCAGCCCCAGTGCTGCTCCCCAATAGCTGTGTGACCTTAGGCGAGTTAAGCAACGTCTCTGAACCTCCGTTTCCTCGTCTGCAGAATGAGGATATTAACACTGCTTACTATAAGTGGCTTATGAAGCCTTTGGCACGGTTACTAGGCACAGTGAGTGTTGCATCTATTACAGCTATTCGTAAGTTTTCTAATTCTTCTCTATGCATACTTATATGTGCATATTTATAAGAAACAGAATCATACTATTTTTTTATAATGTTTAAATCTTAATAACATCATTAATATTTTATCACTTAATTAGAAAGCGTTCTACAATATTTTTTTCCTGTAGCATTTCAGTGTAAAGATGTAGTTCATTGTATTTATATCATCTTTTATTCATAAACACTTAAGTTGCGATTGTATTTTTTTTAATAAAGAATACTGCCTTGAACACCGTCATAGGTAAATCCTTCTACATTGTGGTTATTTAATTACAATGCTATGTGCAAAACTGCCTGGATAAAGGGTAGGTTGGATTGGAATACTTTTAGTATATACATACATATATCTTCCGAACTGGATTCCAGTAAATGTGTTTCTAGTTATGAGAGTGCTTGTTTACCTGCAGCATTGCCAACATTGGCGTTTATCATTGTTTTTGGTTTTGTTTGGTTTTACTGATCCAATGGGTAAAATATACTATCTCATTATTTTAGTTATTAATATATGCACATTATTTTATATGAAAGACGTGGGACTTCTTCACATTCCTATGTATCATTTGTATTTCTTAACTTTCTCACTCACCTACTGTTCATTGGAAGAACCTACTACAACCATTGTCTAGGTTTTATTGCCCATAACTTGATCACATTCTTTTTTTCTTTTTTTTTAAATTGAAACAGGGTCTCACTGATGCCTAGGTAAGAGTGCTGTGGCATTATCATAGCTCACAGCAACCTCAAACTCCTGGGCTCAAGTGATCCTCCTGCCTCAGCCTCCTGAGTAGCTGGAACTAAGGATATACATACATCACTGCGCCCAGCTAATTTTTCTACTTTTTGTTGAGACGGGGCCTTTCTATGCTGCTGAGGTTGGTCTTGAACTCCTAGCCTCAAGCGCTCTTGCCTCCTCAGCCTCCCAGAGTGCTGGGATTACAGGCGTGAGCCACCGTGCCCAGCCTGCTTCATTTTATTTTATCTTTGTCTGCGTCTTATCCCTTGCCCATTTTAAATATTTTCGAAACGTTAGTACAAGAGTTAAGAAGCCGAAACAAAGTTAACACACACACATGGCAAAAATTTAGACAGTACATTTCACGTACGATGATGAAATTTACCGTTTTAACCACTTTCAAGGGTGTCGTTTAGTGGCTTTTAGTGCATTCACGATGCTGTGTGACCACCACTATCTAGCTCCAGAACGTTCCAATCACCCCAAAAGGAAGCTCCTCGTCCATTAACGTTTCTTTATTTCCTGTTATACTCCCAGGTCTCCAGATCTGCCACAACCTGCAGCAGCCATTATCACCCAAAGTGTGCTTCCTTCCAGAACATTCTACGGCTACATACCCACCTAATGTTACATAAATGATACCACACTGTATATGTTGCTCTGCACTTTGCTTTTTCCTAATAGTGTAGAGCTTGTTTCTTGTGGATACTTGTGGCTCATAACAGCTAACAAAAGTGCTTACTTGGTGCCAGATTCTGTTCTAAGCACCTCAAGGGTCCTCTAATCTGGAGAACAAGTTTATCGCATAGTTATTGCGTTATTATTCCTATATCAAAGTGAGGACACTGAGGCACAGTCAGGTTAAAATAATTACTTCCCGAGGCCACATAGTTAGTGAATAGGTCAGTGAGACTTAGAATGCAGGCGGTCTGACCCAGAGCCTGTCTTCCTACCATGGTGTCATTCTCCTATTATTCTTAAAAATGTCTTTACAGTCTGCTTTCAGTCTCCATAAATTTGCCCATTGTGGAAATCTTATCTGATTGAAATAATACAGTATGTGGCCTTTTGTGTCTGGTTTCTTTTGCTCCACATTAGGTTTGCAAGATTTATCCATATTGTGTCACATATCACTGTGTCATTCCTTTTCATGGCTGTATACTATTCCCTCGAATGGATATACCACATTTTGTGTATCCATTCACCCGTTGTTAGGTATTTGAGTTGTTTCCACTTGGGGGAGGGAGGGATGAGGAACAAATGCTTAATAGGTATGGGATTTCTTTTGGGGTTGATAACAATATCATGAAACTAGATAGTGGTGATGGCTGTTCAACACTGGGAATGTACTTGCTGCCACTGAATCGCACACTTTACACGGTTAAAATGGTGAATTTCCTGTTGAGTGAATTTTACAGCAATACAAAGAAAAGCTTCATTGTATTTTATTCTATGGCTTCACCATTTATTTAATGTGTCCTAAATTTTTGGACACGTGGGTCCTCCTACCTTTTCCTGACGACACACAAAAGCTCATTAAATACACGTGTCCAGACGTCTTTGTGCCCACGAGTGTCTGTAGGCCGACTGTGTTTTCCTTCCTGTGGGATTCAGTTCCCCTACGTCTTGACTTGGAGACTCCGCCCTGCATTGGTCCCCGCCCAGGTGGCAGGGTTCCTGGCAGCATGGCCCACAGGGATGGGCTCCCAGAACCGTGACTCTCTGCAAATCTTCTCCCCCAGGTTACTGACCTTCAAGGCCTTCGCCCAGCTCTTTGTCCTGGGCTGCACCTGGGTGTTGGGCGTTTTCCAGATCGGACCCCTAGCGGGTGTCATGGCCTACCTGTTCACCATCATCAACAGCCTGCAGGGGGCCTTCATCTTCCTCATCCACTGTCTGCTCAGCCGCCAGGTGTGTGGCCACCCCCCTCCCCGTCTCCCCCCCGCAACGAGCCCTCCACCCTTCACGCCCGTACCGGGACCGTTTCCCCCCAGCTGCCAACGGTCTGTGTCCGTCTCCAGGTGCGTGAGGAATACAGGAGGTGGATCACCAGGAAGGCCAAGCCCAGCTCCCAGTCGCAGTCCTCGGGGATCTTGCTGTCCTCCGTGCCAACCTCGTCCAAGACGGTGAGAGACCGCGTGCGTCCCGCAGGTGCTGGGGTGCTCGCTGCTCAGCGACCCTCCGTGCTGCCGGGTGTCGAGTGCCCGCGGGGAGCTGGGTGCGCCCACCTTAGTCGGTTCATGCAGTAAGGTGAGGGTGGAGGGGTGTGGGTTTGGAAGCTGGGCTTCCCTTACTATTTGTGTGACCCAAAAAAGGATAAAATCATAACTCATATGGATCTCAAACGAGCACGTTAAGGGTTTTATTCTACTCATTAATCAGTGAAGGAACCAGGCCAGGTAGATGTTAATAACTGTCAATCACCTTCCAGGTCCTATCTCATGGACCCCTCTCAATACTCCCAAGAAGCAGACACTGTTCTCGGCCCTGTTGTGCAAGATGAGAAACTGAGGGTCAGGGTGGCTGCAGGGCTTCCCCAAGATTATACAACAGCTGAGCGGCAGAGCCCATCATCTCGCTATGCTATGCCACCAGTCTAGCATTTTTCATGAAGGGCTCAAAAGAGAATGCAAAAAACAGGTGTGTGTGTGTGTGTGTGCACAAACTACACATACACACATATATTATACATACATGCACACACATATACACTTGTCTCTCCATATCCATGGGTCCCACATCCATGGATTCAACCAGCTGGGGCTCAAAAATATTTGGAAAAAAATGCCGCCTATGCACAGATTGTTTTCCTTGTCGTCATTTTTTAAGCAGCGTAGTCAACAAATGATGACACAGCATTTCCATAGTACCAGGTAGTAGAAGTAATGATTTAAAGCATGCAGGAGGATGGGTGTCAGTTATATGCAAATTTTATGCCATTTTTATGCCAGAGACTCCAGCGTCTTCGGACTTTGGAATGCCTTCCGTGGCCGCAGGGGGGGTTATGTGTGGCTTTCTAGCTTTCTAGAACGGGAGCTGTTGACGGCGGAGTGGCCCGGAATGGTTTTCGGATTTGCCAACGGTGCCTGCCACCCTACAGGCAATCACTTTTAACATTTCAGTGTTTGTCTTTCTAGTCTTTGTTGCTATATTTATCTCTGTGTGTTTTTAAGACCCAGACCCGGGTGGGGATGACCCTTGGGATCACATTCGTGTTAACTGCTGCCGACTCTGGAAAAAAACTCTCTTTTCTCTCTCGCTAGGGTTAAAGGCCTTTCTCGCTTGCAAATACGCTACGGAGCCGCCGTTAGGATAGCAGGTGCCTACTCGGAAATCTCTTCGCAGCTTCACCTGCAAATGAAGAATCCCACCAGCCCCAGAACCCGCCGGGCGACTCAGAGCTTGGGTGGCCGGGGCCGTCTTCCCACGGTTTTACGCGGCGGTGGGAAATGAGAGTTCCTGCTCCGAAGGACCGTTTTGTCTGCTGTGTTCTGCAAGTCTGTGAATTTCCAGAGTTTGGGGAAACAACAGGTCCCAGTTCCATGACAGGACCGAGAACATCTGTCTCCCTCTATCGCTGGCGCGAGGTTTCGAGCGTGCTTTGCAGCGTCCGTCAGTGCCTGGCACAGAGCAGCTGTCAATCAATGATCTGTCGTCTATGTGGCTGAGTTGCCCCAGGACAAAGATTCTTCCTGCTTTTAAAGACATGGTCAGTGAGACTGTAGTGACAGCCCCAGGGGACCGATACAGCACATGACACACAGGCTACTTGGGCACAAACTTTCCCCCGATGGTGTTTCCTGTGCCTCGTGCCTGCCCAGCCCCATCACGGCTTGGACTCGGACAGCTGCAGTAGAAAGGGGGGACAGGGACAGAGGGTCAGTAACAGTGGCAGCGAACGTGAAGTGAGCGTTTACCCTGTCCCTCGCCTTCCAGCTCCTATCTCATGGGCCCCTCCCAACACTCCCAAGAAGCAGACTCTGTTCTCAGCCCTGTTGTGCAAGATGAGGAAACCGAGGGTCAGGGTGGCTGCAGGGCTTCCTCAACATTACACAACAGCTGAGCGGCAGAGCCCAACAGCTCGCTATGCTACGCCGCCAGTCTAGCATTTTCCACGAAGGGCTCCTATGCAACTTAAATCGTTGTCCTCTTGCTCCTCTGAGTGATGCCACGTCTGCTAAACCCCATAGTCTCGAGGGCCGGAAGGTGGTGGCCTGTTTGGTGCCACAGAGAAGGGAGGGAGTGATCGTGGTGAGACTCCGCCACTGCGCATTTGGAAAGAATCACAGCAATGTCTTCACACACACATGCACGCGAAGTCCAAGAAGAGAGATACTCGATACTGAAAGTTAAAAGAGGATAGCTATCCCAGTGGTCAAGAGTTTCATGGAGATTTTGAGCTTTCTGCAAACGAATTTACCTATGAAACTTTTTTCTACTGTGACTTCATGATCCTTTTAAGCCCATGTCTCATTTTGATTTAGAAAAAAAAAAAAAATCCCATGCCTTTCTTTACATCTGGGTTTCTCCGCCTTGGCATTACTGACATTTTGGGTGGATAATTTCTTAGCGCGAGGGACTGGTCTTTGTATTGGAGGACGTGGAGCAGCACCCCTGGCCTCCGCCCACTAGATGGCAGTAGTACCCTACTTCTTGGTCGTGACAACCAAAAATGTCCCCGGACACTGCTAAATATTCCCCCTTTGGGGTGGGGGGTTCCCAGAATCACCCCTTGTTGAGAACTGCTGCTTTTAAATGTCCTTTTTGGTTCCAAAGAAATTAAACATTGCATCTAGAAGCAAATCAAAATGCCAGGAGTGTCGATTGTGTTTCATTTCAACACGCTCTTGGAAATTCAGACCTGCCAAGCTCAGGAGATGGGCCTCACGCCACCAGCCCTGTGGCCGTTCCTTTCACCTGGATAAGGTGATACCAGGACTTTTCTAGAACCAAAGCAAGTAAGATGTTTAACGCTCACCACCTGGGAGAAGGGCTGTCCTCTTAGTGCTAGCTTCCCCGGCTTCTGACTGATAACAGAAAGAGGGAACTGTAGACTCTTATCTCCTATTTCTCAAGCAGTCTTGGGGATTTCAAGACAGCCAATCCTTGTGGGTGTAATTTCCATAGCTCAACCCAAGGTGGAATTAAAGTCACCTTACAGGTTGTAGATGGGCTTAAAGATTCTTTGTAATTGGTTAAAGAAATGGAGCTTTGTCTAAAGGCTTGGAAGGTTTTAAGTTAAGATAAGGAAGTCTGTTAATCAGAGACAAGCCCCCGGAGATACGCCCAGACTCAAGGTTATATATATGTTGAGGACCTGCAGGTTTGTCTTGCTCAGCCTTAGGCCCGTTAATGACTTACAAAGGATGTCTCCAAAAAGGGAGGGGGTGTGATGAGGCATGTCTGACCTCCCTTCTCACGGCCAGCAACTCAGCTTTAGGATAGATCCCACTGGCCAAGAGGGAGTCCATTCAGTCAGCCGGAGTGGGGAGCCTTAAGATTTTATTTTAGCTCTCATACAGGATGCCTAAAGCAGCACCTGACAGTTCCCTGTCTCAGTTGGGAGTGTGAGACCAGCATCTCTACTAAAAATAGAAAAAAAAAAATAGCTGGGTGTGGTGACACCCACCTGTAGTCCCAGCTACTCAGGAGGTTGAGGTAGGAGGATTGCTTGAACCCAGGAAGTTGAGGTTGCAGTGAGCTATGATGATGCCACTGCACTCTACCTGGGGTGACCTTATAAGACTCTATCTCAAAAAAAAAAAAAAAAAAGAGTATGGGGCTATGTTTTAATGTCACAGTAAGCACCAAGCACATTTGTTTGTTGGAAGCAAAGGGGACAGTGTAATTTAAGGGCAAGATCCCTCTGACTTAAGGTGAACCAGGCAAGAAAGAACATTTGTAGGAGTCACTAAACAGAATCTTTTGGCATCAGATCTGGGCCACCATTTGGATAGGGCACAGATACTGGGCTCTATCCTATTCCTGCAGGCTGGACTACTGGCCCTGTCTTTCTAGCCAATCTGTATACTGAATGCCACTGTGTCCAGGCCTGGGAAGTTTGCTGAGGAAGAATTCCTTTTAAATGACCGGCAAAGGAGGAAGCGGTGTGTTGTGTTTTGTGTCTGTATGCTGGTACAAGGATGGCATTTCCTCCTTTTCTTTTCTTATTTTTGTTTGAGACAAGAGTCTCACTCTGTTGCCCGGGCTAGAGTGCCGTGGTGTCAGCCTAGCTCACAGCAACCTCAAACTCCTGGGCTCCAGCAATCCTCCTGCCTCAGCCTTCCGAGTAGCTGGGATTACAGGCATGCGCCACCATGCCCGGCTCATTTTTTCCTATATATTTTTAGCTGTCCAATTAATTTCTTTCTATTTTTAGTAGAGACGGGGTCTCGCTCTTGCTCAGGCTGGTTTCGAACTCCTGACCTTGAGTGATGCACCCGCCTCGGCCTCCTAGAGTGCTGGGATTACAGGCGTGAGCCACTGTGCTCGGCCCCTTCTTTTCTTAAAATGTGGATTCCTCCTCTGTGACAGTCAATGAGAAAGGTTCGCCTTCTGGTTAGAACGAGTGACGCTGGTGTAGGGCCAGGGTGGGTGCTAGTGGGTGACTTGGGGAGAAGCAGCTGGCACAGCCAAGTGGGTTGAGTGAGGAGGGTTCAATGCAGGGACTATTTAGTTAGACGTGGGCAGGACTAAGGGAACTCAACAAAAGCTGCGGGGAGGCCGGGCGCGGTGGCTCACGCCTGTAATCCTAGCACTCTGGGAGGCCGAGGAGGGCGGATTGCTCAAGGTCAGGAGTTCAAAACCAGCCTGAGCAAGAGCGAGACCCCGTGTCTACTATAAATAGAAAGAAATTAATTGGCCAACTGATATATATATATATATATATATATATATATATATATATATATATATTAAAAATTAGCCGGGCATGGTGGCGCATGCCTGTAGTCCCAGCTACTCGGGAGGCTGAGGCAGGAGGATTGCTCGAGCCCAGGAGTTTGAGGTTGCTGTGAGCTAGGCTGACGCCACGGCACTCACTCTAGCCTGGACAACAAAGTGAGACTCTGTCTCAAAAAAAGCTGCGGGGACATCCTGGGACTAGCAAGGTGGGGGAGGGGCTGTCACCACCTGTTGTCTTGAAAAAGTGAGGAGAGAAAGCAGGTGTAGGAACCTGGCAAGGGCTGTAGTCTGCGGCGGAAGAATCTGCCCGCTGCCCACACGTGCAGCCCCTGCAGCGAAGCCGGAGCTGGGGAAATAGACATCCCCAGCGCTCACTCCTCCAGCCCTCCTCTCGCCCTGCAAGGGCTACCATTGGCCAAACTCAGCTTCAAGGCAGAGAACAGGAGGGTCTGGCGTTGCCGGACACACAGGGTGACCTCTCAGCGCACAGAGCAGGGAGCACACGACGGAAAACAGATGCGTTTCGCAATCGCCTAAAGCGAATTCTTGCACGCCTGTTCAAGCTTAAGAGGTGCCCACACCACGCCAGACAGTCGGTTCTGTGTTGGCGACAGATGACGGTGACAGCCTGCTTCTCTACCGAGCCCCGGGTGGGATGCCCAAAGTAGAGCTTTGAGAGGGAGATGATCAACAGATTCTCCTGTCTGGCTGCTTCTGCTTTTTTTATCTCTTATTTTGTTCTTTGGCTCGTGGGTGGCTCGAGTGTTTGTCTGTGTCTGGGGCTTAGCATTCAAACTCCCTGGGAGAGACACAAGCTGAATGGACTGGTGAGTCAACGTCCAACACAGAGAACTGTTCTAAGGTACATGGTTCTTCTTGGCCACCTCCTATGTTGTTGGTTGCCATATGGACAAATCCATGTTCCAATCAGCTGTGGTTGGGAGGTGAAGTCAAATAGTAACATGCCCGACAACACATGTGCAAAGAACTCCTTCCGGGCTACTTTGGGAAGTGTATCAGTTAGCTTTGACTGTGTAACAAATTAGCACCTCCTCAAATTGTTTAATTTTTTTTTATTTTTGAGACGAGTCTCACTCTGTCACCCCAGGCTGGGTGCAATCACAGCTTGAACTCCAGAGCTCAAGCAATCCTCCTGCCTCAGCCTCCCGAGTAGCTGGAACTACAGGTGTGCACCACCATGTCCTGCTAATTTTTCCTATTTTTAGTACAAATGGGGTCTCGCTCTGGCTCAGGCTGGGCTCAAACTCCTGACCTCAAGTGATCCTCCAGTCTTGGCCTCCCAGGGTGCTGGGATTATAGATGTGAGCCACCACGCCCAGCCAATTTTTAAAATTTTTGCTTAATATAACAACTATTTTATTTACTTCTTGATTTTTGTGTTATGCCTAGATATTGCTTCTGACCTGGGCTGGCTTGGCTGTTCTCTTCCATGTGTTTGTGGTCAACAGTGGGTCGGCTGGTTGAATGACCTAACAGGGCCTCACTCACACACCTGGTGGTCGGCAGGTTGGCAATGAGAGTGACACATTGGTCCACATGGTCTCGTTTTCCCCAGATGTTAGCACTTTCTTTGCGTCCTTTTAATTATTGTTTTGTTGGTCAAAGCCAGTCACTTGGCCAAGCTTAGGGGTCAGTGTGGAAGAGAGACCACACTCAAAGATGGGGAATTCTTGCATTCATTTATGTCAACAATCTATCACATGCAGAACTGGGTGGTGAGCACACAGAATGCTCAGAATTTCAGGGACTTCTCTCTGGTTCAGGCATTTCAGTTTTATATTCAGACAATTGTGATTCCAATACAGTTAGACAGTGACAGACTGGAACTCTCCACTTGTCATTCACAAGATGACCCAGCAAACGTGTGAGTGGTACGTGGAGAGGCTGACCAGCAGCCCCCCCTTAGCAGCCATCACTGGGGGATTGTTTCAATACTTTATTGCATTTGTGCTTATTAATTTATAAAAATAAATGAGAAACAGAAAGATGAAGGTGCTAATACTAGGGACAATACGGCCATGTTTCATCAATGTAGTAAAATGAGACAAGAAGTAAATCACTAGCTGTGAATTTGGACTTCCCAGACTTGGGGGTGTTTGTCATATCCATGCTGGATCTGACCAAGGGTCTTCTAACGCAAATGAGACAAATATTTCAGTACACCGTCCCAGTAAGACCCGTCAGGAATTTTCACCAGCCAAGTATTGACAGATCTGTGTAGGCATGTTGGGTGGCCCTATCCCAGAGTCCGAGACTATGGGGAAGTCGTTTTCCCAGAGTGGGTCACTGAGAAGCGATTCTGAAATGGGACACTGGGTAACAGAGATGTGCTGACTCCTCCCCTCCACTCCCTGGCCTTCAGCTCTTGCAGTAAAACTTCAAGTGTCTCTTCAGAGTTGGACCCACTTCCTTGGCATCGAAGAGAGCTGAATCCACCCTCCGTTGTTTATTTGGCTTACCCCATTTTGAACACCATCAGCATTTCCAAGTTCATTTCCCAGGGCACTTTAATCTGCCCCATGCTGGTACTGCAGGATTTAAATTACTGTAATGAAAGGAGAACTAATGCACCTCGGACCATTAGGCAAACTCCCTGACCAACCACCCAGCCTTCTCCTCTACCCACAAGACTCCTTGAGAAATTAGACCTCCCGATAAGTGGCCGTGCGCTTCCTCTTCTGTCAGTTCTGAGGAGCTACCAGGCTGCGTTGGAGGCAAGGACTTCTCATCTCTGCGGTGAGTAGGCACAGTGACTTCTCATAAAAAATAGAGAAATTTTTTACCTGTGATTGGGAGTCTAGAAAAATACTCTGGGTCTGGAAACCTTTTCGAAGAGACCTCATTCCATGCCCCGTTGCTTCATTTCTTGAACGAGGACAGGCAGCATCTGTCTCAGGTGTGTTTGTTCCCTTCTGCCGGGACGGGGGTGTGTGTTGTTACGTGGGGGTGTGCAGCCCACCCAGATGTCCCGCTCACTCGGGGCAGGTGCCGAATTGTGTCTTTAGGGGTTTCGGGTGGACTGAAATTATATCGTTTCAAGAAATACAGAGCCTACAGCAAATGTAGCATATAACCAATTTGTTGTGAAAAGTGAGGAAAACAAGATCTTAAGAAAATGAGTGGCTTTCCTGAGGTTGCATGGTGAGTAAAGACCTTTCTCATACACCTCAGCCCCGTAAGAAACACGCCAGCGCAGGTCAACGCCAGGCTCACAGGGGAAGGGTTGGATGCCTGATTTGTGGCCAAAGTAGAGAGATTTGCAGGTCGACGTTTTTCAACCAGCTGGTTATGAACCGCTGGAGGGGGATGGACCACAAAACCCACTTAGTGCATAACAACCAGCCTGGCAAAAATTAAACATGAAAAAGGACCATGATTATAGAATATCAGATGCTGTACATAGTTTTATGTTGTGAAACTTCGTTCACTTCTCTCTCTCTGTCTCTCTCTCTCTGAAATGCATTTATTGCAGTTGGTTATGGCCAAAAATCTCTCCAAATTAGCTTCCCTAGAGGTCTCAACTGTTGTGACAAATATTTATTGTCACCTCTTTTAGGTAAACATACTCACTTTAGTTAAATCAGTTTCAAACGAGGCCTCAGAAAACAATTGTCCTCATTCAAATGGGGATTCTTTGCACTGAGAGTTGCTCCAGAATATTTTAGAGTAAAAAATATTTTTGAAGGAGGAGAAACAATGAATGAAAATGGGAGACAGGTGTTGAGAGAGGGAAGGCGTCCAGAGAGGGACTAAGTGTAATTCCTCCCGAGGGACACAAGATACCACTGCAGGCTTGGACTTCCAACCAGGCGATATTGTCCACTGCAGGGACTGCAAGCCGGGGGTCCCTGGCTCTGTGTTAAGGGAAACGTGGGTGTGGACGTCTCCAGCTGGAGCCCGTGGCCCCCAGTTTCCCGAGGTCCCCACCACTTCCCACCCAGGGTCTGACTGATTTGCGTTCCACGTCCGGTGACGTTGGGGTCCTGACCTTGGGGAGGTGGTGGGACTCGGGCTTTGGACTCAGGGAGACCTTGCACAGGTCTCAGCTCTGCATTTTCCAGCGGCATGGCCCTGCACGAGCCACGTGATCTCTTGAACCGCAATTTCTGCATCTGAAGAGTGGAGAGACGACGACAAGACCTACGTCATAAGATGCTCTGGGCTGTGGATGAGATGACAGTCACAGCGTTCTTAACAAGGCACCTGGCCCCTAGTCGAGTTCCCATAAATGATCTTAGGACGTGGTAATGGACAGGATGAGAGAGTTTTCTCACCCTAACCGTGGGTGGGGCATTGAGCGTGAACACACAGGTGGCCCTAAGAGATTCCAAACTCAAAGATCAAAGCCCAACAGGCATATCAAGACAGGAGTATGGAGAAAACACAGAACTGCCAAGAGAAACCATTTTTAAAGTAATTTTGTGTTCTCTTTTATTAAAGAAAACTTCATTATTATTATTAATTTCTTCTTATTAAAGCAATATGCAAAATTTAGAATTATAGCTAAATAAAAGGGGATTTAAAACCACTCATGATGTTTTATCAACAAACTAAGGCTTAGAGCAACATAAATAAATAATTAAAAAAATCATTCATAGTGTCATTCTCTTGTTCACATTTATAATTCCTTTAAATGTGATATTATATACTTGGCTCTATAACCTGCGCTTTTTATTGATACATAGCAATTGTACATTTTATGGGATACATGCGATATTTTGATACGTGCATAGTACATTGTGTTGTGATAGAATCATATAACTTGCCTTTTATCTTAATGCTACATTATAATCGCTTCCCAAGTCACTTTAATAGCCTCTTACTCCATTATTTTTATTTATGATATCAAATTATTGGCATTGCACACGGTTAAATGCTGTCTTCTTCCTACTTCCATTATATGAAAGTGTTTTCCTCAAACCACTTACTTAGTACATCTTCCTGATATCAGCAACTTCATCATCATTGGCACATCTGTGTGTCTTAACAGATTAGCAGGATACATTCTCTCTCCTACTGTGCGCTGGAAGTTTTATCTTAAACTCCAATTGCCCACTGACATTGCCTTAGGGACGTGCTTTTCAAATTTTAAAATGATATCCACGGGCAAACACTTACTGCCAAGCTTCTTAAAGTCTCTTTCAAAAGGCTCATTCATAATGATGTCTAGCACTGCCACTGTTTTCTTTGTTAGAAACGATTTATTTTTTGAGTAGAAAAGACCTTCACTTGGTTCCAACTTCAAAAGGCACAAGAGGATGAAAGGTGACAAGTCTCTCTGCCTCAGCTTCCCAGCCACTCAAAGTCACTTGATGTCATGAGTTTCTTAGGCATCCTTCAAGAATATTTTATGCAAATACAGTATCATGACAGATCTACACATGCACTTGATGCATTTGTATGTTTGTAGATTGCACGTATGACGTTGTGCATGCATATATATACACATACATATAGAATTGTATGCAGAATTCTAACACTTTCTGTAAAATAGGGGAGATAGTTGCCCTGTTGTATAAATATAGTATAAATATATCTACATATTATTTCCAATTGTATATGGTATGCTAACATTTTCCTTGCCATCTCCCTGTTTTATGCAAATATTAGTACACCTACTTCTGTCCCCTGGGAATTGTTTATTTACTAACTTAACAGTATACCATTAAGATCACCTTCCTCCCCCCGCCTTTTTTTTTTACTATGGAACTTTTCAAACATATAAAATGTAGGGAGAATAGCAGACCCATCACCGGGCTTCAACAATGATTAACTCCTGGCCAATCTTATTTCATCTTTACTCCCACCCAGTCCCCTGACCACTCTCCCTACTCAATTGTGTTGAAGCGAATCTTAGCCATTGCATTATTTCACATGCAAAATTTTTAGTTTGCATCTCCAAAAGATCAGCTTTCTTCACAGAGAACCTCTTTGTTCTACCTCTAGCTTCCTCTAGAGCAGACAGCCAAATTGACCAGCGAGGAAGCTGAGGGTGAATTATCACGTCTACAGAAAAACAGAGAGTCATTCTTTAATGTCATAAAATGTTCAGCCTTATAACCTTTTAAAAGATGATTGGTTTGATTTGGGTTCAGTAAGATACTGCAATTGGCTCATATGCTTTTAAGTCTCTTTTAAACTAGGTTCCTTTTCTATCTGGTTATTTTTAACATCTTGCATTTTTTTTTGACAAATAAAAAAGTGGAACTCATAGAAGCAGACGCTAGAACAGTGGTTAACAGAGGACAGGGCAGGGTCGGGAGGTGGAAATAGGGAGGTGGTGGTCAGGGAGGGCACAGAGTGTCAGTTAACCTTGGAGGAATCAGTTTTAGAGATTTTTGTACAGCATGGTGATGACTGTTAATAGTAATATATTGTATATTTCTGAGTTGCTAAAAGAGTAGATTTTAAATGTTCTCATCACAAAAAATGATAAGTATGTGAGGTGATGAATATGTTAATTTCTTTGACTTCATAGCTCCACAATGTAAACATATATTGAAACATCACATTGTACCCCATAAATATATATAACTATTTGCCAGTTAGGAATAGTTTAAAAGAATCAAATAAATAACAGCAATGTAAAAAAAAAAAAAAAAAGAGGTGAGGTGAGGTGGCTCATGCCTGTAATCCTAGCACTTTTTGGAGGCTAAGGCAGGAGGATCACTTGAAGCCAGGAGTTCAGAGATCAGCCTGAACAACATAGTGAAAGCCCATCATTACAAACATTAGAAAAATCAGCCAAGTGTGGTGGCTCATGCTTATCGTCCCAGCTACTTGGGAGGCTGCGGTAGGAGGATTGCTTGAACTCAGGAAGTTGAGGTTGCAGTGAGCTATGATGACTCCACTGCACTCTAGGCAGAGTGACAGAGCAAGACAGTCTCAAAAAAAAAAGAAGGAAGGAAAGAGAAAGAAAGAAAGAAAGAAAGAAAGAAAGAAAGAAAGAAAGAAAGAAAGAAAGAAAGAAAGAAAGAAAGAAAGAAAGAAAGAAAGAAACAAGCTACTTAGTTTGTTCAGGGAAGTTTTCCACATTCTGGATTTTGCTGACTGCAATAGAACAGGATTTTAAATCCCAGCAGAATATTCAGTCCACGAGATGCGTCTCTTTTGCGGCATGTGGGGTGGTAAGCTCGTGCCCTGCAACCCCCTCTGCCGCGATCCTTCTTGCAGGATCCTTTCCTTGAGAGAGTTGCCCAGAAGCAGAATTAAGCATCGCTCCCGCCCCCGCCCAGGTTCGTAGCCTCGTGACCCTGAGGCGTTGGTCCTCACTGGGCTTGTCCACTGCAGGAACTCTCACCCCTCCCCGCTGGAGAGAGATCCTCACGCTGCTGCTCCCGCTGCCTCTGCGCCATGGGAAGCAGGTGCCTGCTCCTGCTCTCGGGTAAGTGGGACGGGGACCCCCCTTCTCTTCCTGCCCCTGCCGTCCCGCCTGCGTTTGCTCCCCGACGGCGGGCACTGTCTCCGGCAACCCCTGCGTGAGCTTGTCCTGCACCAAACTCTCCCGCTGAGTCTCTTAGGCTGGGCTGCCCCAGAGCAGAACCGAGACGAGACGAGTGTGTGCGTGTGTGGGGGCAGTTATTTGGGAGGGGATCCCGGGAAGCACAAGAAGGGGAGTGGGGGCGTCACACGCGGAAGAGGGAAGAGCCAATGAAGGTGCGTGGATGGGGGTCACCCCGTGCAGGTGCGGAAGCCGAGGGTGAATTGTCACGTCCATGAAAAGTGGACAGTCATTCCATAACGTCATGAAATGTGCAGCCTTACAACTTCTCCAAACAATTCCTTGTTTGATCTGGGTTCAGCAAGACACTGCAATTGGTTGATACGTTTGTAAGTCTCTTAGAGCTCAGGCCTGCTGGAGATGCTTCTAGAGACGGTGTCATTCCCACATGTTTCTGCCGTGCCCCCGGGGGCTGCAGGAAAACGCACTGTGCAGACAGACACAGTAGGATGTGCGGACAGAGGAACGTCCTCTGGGGTTGGCTGAGGGGCCACTTCAGCTGTCTGCTACTCTGATCCACCCCCCACAACAAGGTCCGTGCTTGGAGCATCGTGGCTGAGCTGGTTACGACAACCTGAACCCAGCCTGCAGCCACGCAGAGCCCGGGGTCCCCGTCTGACCGTCCCCTCCCCTCTGTTCCAGGTCTCGGGGTCTTGCTGGCTGTGCCAGGACCAGGAGCCAGGAGGTCTGCAGGTGAGTCCACTCACAGCCACAGGCCAGAGGGAAGGAAACTGGGACCTGGAGCTCGAGTCTGGGAGGGGAAGGAGCCCTGTGCGAGGCAGGGGCGCTGAGTCCCTGGCGTCCCCTCCTCCCGAGGGCTGTCCCCCTCTGCGGGCATCACCGGCGTCACCTGCGTTTACTGAGCCGAGCGGCTGACACGCGGCCTCCGGTGCAGTCCTCTGCGACGTTCCCACCCAGAGGTGCTGCCGCCATCCCCGCCTGGCCAAGGTCCTGCTGAGCCGGCGCGGCCCGAGGCCACGCAGCTGGCGGTGGGGGTGCTGCTCCCTGTCTCCCCACACCCGCATCCCGCGTCTCAACACGCTCAGCTGCCACGCCCGCCGGGGGCGGGTTTCCCTCCAGACTTCCGTGGTGTGGGCAGGTCACCGACCTGGGAGGGGACCCCAGGAGGAGCCACCTGGGAGGGGTGGGGACAGGAGGCAGAGACGGCGGTGGGGCCTTGTCACGGGAGTCGCCTGCGGGCATCGAGAGCCCGTGCCCCCCACCCCTCGGGAGCCGCTGGACACGGCGTGGGGCCCGCACCTCCCTGTCCTGCCCCAGGGGTCAAGGGCGACCTCTCACGGTTGTTACTTTTAACGTGTAGTAAAATGTACAAGCTGAGTTACTTTAATAGACTGACTCCCGCCAGTCACCGTTGGAGGGAGCTGCTCCCGGGAGCGGACGCAGTGCTCACCTGCCATGTGCTGCACAGAGCGGAGCCTGGTGGCCAGAGAGAGCCGGCAGGGAAAGGTGCACAGGTGCACAGGTGCACAGGTGCTGGCATTTGGAGGCACCATCAGGCAGGAGTGGTGTTGGTGGCAGAAGTGGGATCTGGGCAGGCCGTGTGCGCGTCTGTGTTCAGCTGTGGGCTGGGTGCAAAGAGGATGCCACAGAGCCAGTCCCAAGAGGACATCCCTCTGACCACAGCGCATGGATTGTGGGCACTTCATGAATATGTCTTGAACAAATGATGAGCAAAGGAATGCACACGTCTGTGTTCCCTGCAGCCCTCTGTCCTCAGTGCCCTGAGCATGCCTCCTGCCACAACAGCACCCACTGCGCCTGTGAGGTTGGATTCCAGTCCAGGTCTGGGAGGAGACACTTTTTCAGCTCCCAGGAGACATGTGAAGGTAAAGATGCTTTGGATGAGATTTAATTCGACCCCTCATTGGTGACAACTATTCCTCGTCCTGTGTCCTCTGTCTGAGGCACATGAATCCGTGGACCAAATAGAACCCACAGCTCTTCAGCAGACCCATCGCCATGGTGCAGCTACTGGGCAGGCGCACCTGTCCCTGCGTGCCTCAGACAGAGACAGCAGGTGTCAGTCCTTGCCTCTGGGCACCCCCTGTCTGTGGGCTTGAACCTCAACTTGGTCCATCCGCAGGGAAGGCTGGCGAGACAGGCAGATGCAGGACACTCAGGCATTGCACAAGCCAGGATTTAGCTAAAGTGGCCCTTCCACCTCGCTTGCAGCCTGTCCTAGTGATGTGTTAGCTTACCCTATATTTATTCCCTTGCTACTCACTGTGCATTTTTATTTGATGTAACAAATTTGAGATTCACCATTAAACTAAAACAACTTTCCATCCTTACTCCAGTGATTTGACACATCCTCTATACTATATTCTAAAGCCCCATAGGTACTTGGTCTATCTCCGGACTTTCAGCCCATTCCATTGGTCTTTTATTTATTTATTCATGTGTCAGCACCTCGCTGTTTTGTCAAAGCATCATTGGATATTTCAATGCCTGGTTCCCATCTTTCAGTTTTTGTGCCTATTCTTGCATGATAGTATCAACTCATCTCACTCCATAAAATACATGTAGATTTGTTCTTATTGGGATTTCATTGGGTTTACACACAAACACAGGGACAACTCCCATCCCTTCTCATGCTGATTCATCCTATCCACCAATGGGAGATGTTATTTGGGTCCATTGATGAACAGTGTTGGGCTATAGAGATTCCACGGGCCAGAGAACTGTGAAAACGAAAGTGAAATCGTTCTATGAAGATGAAAAACAACAGTATTTTCTCTTGATTCACAGACATCAATGAGTGTAAGACCGGGCTGGCAGGATGCAAGAAAAGGGCATATTGTAGAAACAAAATCGGAGGTTACGTCTGCAGTTGTGTGGTCAGATATCCTGTCATCAACTGGGTGGCTCGTTGGGTGAATATGGACCATCCAGACTGTTATGGTAAGAACCTCCCGGTACTCTCTCCTCCACGCAAAAGGATGGGGCTTTGGGCAGGTGGGGAGAGCTTCTGAGAGCCGCCAGTTTCAGGCTAGAGGGGGAGAGCACATCTCTGTCCTAACTGACATCTCTCTTTCCTTTGCTGTCCTTCTTGTCCAAGGAGACGTTACCCTAGCCCATGACATAAATAACCATGTCTGTATAGATGCCTTACAGTTTGTGTCTCCTACACAGGGCTCTTTCCTGGCTTTGAGAAAGATGTCTCTGATTTTTTTTCCCTGGACTTGTCTACTTATTTATCTCTCACTCACCTTAAATTCATTCCCTATGTCTGTCTATCTGTCTATCTATGTCCCAAAGCCCATGAGTTCATGCTGTTAGCTCTCACACCAGCACAATACCAAGTCTTGTCTCAGCCTTCCCTCTTTCCTTATTTGTAACTTCTTTCTCCAACAATGAGAAGCCTGGCTACTACAATCATATTCATATATATATATATATATATATATATATATATATATATGTATAATTGTTCAATGGTAGCATAATTCTATGTTTTGAGTTGGATGGATTGGATGTAAGTGCTGCCTTGTTCCCTCCCTAGCTTGCTGTCAGTTACTGATTTAACTTCTATATGCCTCCTCTACATGGGAGTGGCACTAAGGTGTACGTGTTAGGTATGTGTCACTGCATAACAAGTAATCACCCACGTTTAGCGGCATAAAAAACACATATTTATGGTTTCAAGGTTTCTGTGGGTCCAGGCGAGGCTTAGCTGGGTCCTTTGTTTTGGGGTCTATCACAGCTGCCATCAGGGTGCTTTCTGGATGGTGGTTTCATCTGGAGGCTTGACCGAGGCAGGATCTGCTTCCAAGCTCACTCCTGGGGTTGGTGGAAAGATTCAGCTCCTTAGGAGCCCTTGGACTGAAGCCCTCAGGGTTTAGTGGTTGGTGGGAGGCAGCCATCAGTTCCCAGGCATGCGGGCACCTGCCACTGGATTTATTATAGCAAGCACCTGGACACAGCCAGAGAGAGTGAATATCACAAAAGTCATAGTCTTTTATAACCTAATTGCCGAAGTGACTTCCTATCACTTTGGTGTGTACTGTTCATTAGTAATAAGTCACCGGGTCCAGTCCACGGTCAATGGGAGGAGATTTTGCAAGAATGTGAATCCCAGTAGGTAGGGATTATTTGAAGCCATTTCAAAATCTGGGTTACTGGGTCGAATATCGTGCTCCCCAAATTCGTGTACACCTGGAACCTGTGCATGTGATCTTATGTGGAAATAGGGTCTGTGCAGATGTAGTCAAGTCAAGATGAGGACATACTAGTTTAGGGTTGACCCGAAGTCCCATATAACTGGTGTTCTTATAAGAAGAGGGAACCTAGGAAACAGAGACACACACACACAGAGGGACGATGGCCACGTGTAGACAGAGACTGGAGTTAGGCTGCCACAACCCCAGGAAGGACAGAGATTGCTGGCAGCCACCAGAAGGTAGAAGAAGCAAGGCAAGATTCCTCCTTGGCACCTTCCTTAGAGGGAACATGGTCCTGCTGACACTTTGACTGTGGATTTTTAACCCCCAGAGCTGTGAGACAGTAAATATATGTTGCTTCAAGCCACCAGTTTGTGGCACCGTGTTATGGCAACCCCAGCAAACTAGTACACCTCACCCATGCTTTGTGATTTTTAATGCATGTAAAATGGCTAGCAGGCCTAGGTATCTAGGAAGACTCAGTAAGTATTAGTTCTCATGCTACAGAAGCCTGTTATAGAACCTTTTGCATTCTCTTAGAGGAGATAGTGCAGATGTAATGTGTAGACAACGGCTTCTGTATTACTAACTCAAATAACACGGAATCCTTCAGGAAGCCTTCCATGCAAGGCCGATGTGCTGGGGTTCTCTGCTGTGTGTTACCATGTCATCACCTCCTATTTATTAAGGGCATCACTTATCAATAATAATCAACAATCAATAGTCAACAACCAACAATCAATAATCTCTTAATTATTGATTTGTAATTATTTGCTTAACGCCTTTCCTTCCAGACTGCAAACTCCACAAGAGGACACCCTTGTTCTCTTTTAATACTCTATCCATGTGGTTTTTTTTATCATGTCTGGTGTTGAGTAGGTGCTCAGCTAATACTATTGCCTGAAGTATTAAGCCGGAAGCCACGTTCCAATTCCCTTTTATAATCTACTGTGGAACACGTTTTGGATTCCTTAGATGGGAATCGGGGAGGGCTGCAGAAGCAGCAGGGAAAGACCCAACTTGAGGCTGATTGGAAGGAGGGATGTGAGCGAGGGTGGGATTTCTCCCATATCCCATTTCATGGCCACATTTTCCCTCCAGTGAACAGCAGCGGGAGGAAACAGTCACCAGTGAATATTTGGGTAAGTGGGGTGAAGCCTGGGTGTGGGAAGCAGCTGGTCCGTCTCACCACATCGCCTCCTGCTTTGGCACTCGCAGGTTCTCTTTGATTTTTAGGATGGAGTAGTCCTCGTCCAGGGATGATTGTGTCCTCTGCCCCAAGGGTCATTTGTCAATGACTGGGGACCCTTTTGGCTGTCACAACGTCAGGGGTGAGAGGAATGTGTATTACTGGCATCTAGTGAGTAAAGACCAGGGACACAGCTCGGCATCCCATAATGCCCAGGACAGCCTCCCACAACCAAGCATTGACTGGTCTCAGATGTCACTAGAAATTAGGATACTCTGGAAAGAGTGACAGTGCCTCAGCTGTCATTTAAAGACTTGCATCAGTGTCTAGAACCTCATGTCCACCCCCACCTGCTAGCACCTTAATCAATATTGTCTCCAGGGCTCACCCCTGCCTCATCTATGCATATTCCTGCTTCCTGAAGTTTCCGTGAGAGTCTACCTAATTGGCCTTATTTCTTTCAAAGGAAAGTCTGAGCAAGAACAGAAGCAGAAAGGACCTTGCAAGAGAAGTTACTCAACTACTCCAGAGAACGGAATTGAGTATCTGGAATTTGAGTTTTGTTTCTCCAGGACGTGGTGAAAATTACAAACTTGGTATCGGTAAGAGGTGCTGAGTAGACTCCCGTGATCTGCATAAAGAGGTCTGGGTCCTGGCATGGGCAGGGGCTATGAATGACAAAATCAATGGGCTCCCAGAATCACAGTCTTTCATGCTAACATTACATGAATGGGGCTCTGCTTTTAAAAATATAAATTCAAGGGACAAGAAAATAAATCAGCTCCTTTCCCCATTCCAACCTCCCTTAGTATGGCAAAGATTACTGAAGAACATATCCACCACCCTACCATGGCTGGTGGAAAGAAGAAATCTTTGGGTTGTGTCCCTACTCTACCCTCACATACTCAGGACAACATAGAATACTTCATCTTTGGTCAGGAAAATATGTGTGGATTTTTTTCCCCTCCACGCTAAGCAAGTAATTCTCCAGCAAGTCCCAGCTGGGTGTCCTGTCATTCAACTCTGACATTATCTACCTGGAGGTAGCGTCAGACCCCACAGTTTGTGGGCTTAATCCCAGAGCGTTTTCAGTTCCGACACCAGCTGCAAGTCCCAGGTTGTAACCTGTACTTCTGTCCGGCTATGAATCAGAGTCCCGTGACCTCCCTCCTTGGGTTTGATTAATTTGCTCACTGAACTCAGGGAGGCACTTTACTTGCATTTATCCATTTATTATAAAAGATACTACAAAAGATACTGATGTCCCGCCGGGTGGAAGAGATGCAGAGAACAAGGTGTGGGGCACGGTGATGTGGCACTTCCAAGCCCTCTTTGGGCGTGTCACACCCCAGGAGCCTCCAAATTTTCAGCTACCTGGATGCTCCTAGAACCACGTTCCTCTGGATTTTGATTTGGGCTTTATTATTTAGACTTGATTGACTACAGCATTGGTCCTTGGCATCAACTCAACATTCAG